CCTGATACAAGCCAGGATGTCATTGGCCTTCCAGGCTCATGTTCAACCAGTTGTCACCCAGCACTCCCAGATCCCTCTCTGCTGGGCCGCTCTCCAGCCACTCCTCCCCCAGTCGGTAGCGCTGCAGGGGGTTATTGTGGGCAAAGGGTAGAACCCTGCACTTGGTCTGGTTGAACTTCACACCGTTGGCCTCGGCCCATTGACCCAGCCTGTCCAGGTCCCTCTGCAGTGCCTTCCTACTCTCTGGCAGACCAACACTGCCCCCAGCTTGGTGTTATCTGCAAACCTACTAAGGGTAGACTCAATCCCCTCTTCTAGATCATCAATAAAGATGTTAAACAGGAGTGGCCCCAGTACCGAGCTCTAGGGGACACCACTCATGACTGGTCACCAACTGGATTTAACTCCATTCACCACAACTCACTGGACCTGGCCATCCAACCAGTTTTTCACCCAGAGAAGGGTGCAGCTGTCCAAGCCGTGGGCTGCCAGCTTCTCCGGGAGGATGCTGTGGGAGACTGTGTCAAAGGCTTTGCTGAAGTCGAGGCAGACCACATCCACAGCCTTCTCATTTCTACAGCTCCACAGACACACGCTGAAATGCTGCTTGCCTCCCATACAAAAACATAACCAATATTTCAAAAGACTCAAAGACTGACACAGGGACATTTAGTCTCCCTTCTTTTCCTTGTCATTCATGCTTAGATTTTTGAAGAATTATGTGGGACTGCAAGCACGTGATTTATTAGATACAATGAGAGGGGAATGGGAAGGTTGGGAAATAATGTCAAATGTAATTTTTCTATTCACCGGAGAAAACGATGTCAAGTTACCTCAGTGATCTTAAAATTCAGGGAATTGATAATGCCACTTACATGAGGCTGGATATCTGTCATCTTCTCAGGATGCCAGTCCTTCTGCCTGCTGCTCTGGTGATTAGAAGAATGAATGGCTTTCTGTAATGCCAAGAGATCCTGACCATCACTGTTAGGCATCTGCAACAAAATATTAAATACTGGTCTCCTAATACATACTTAAGAATAGCTTAACTCATTTCCCCCGGTTAATTACAGAACATGAGTAAAGCTCATTACTGCAGCAGAACTGCAAGGACCTTTCAGTATTTTTCCCCAGAGTAAGAGCAAGTGGCTGTGGATATCATGCAGGTTTGCTATACCCTTAGCCCTTAAAGCATTCACATGCTGTTAGTGTTATTTGCTGTAAAAGAGAGCAGTTAAACAAGGCTTCAAAAAAACAGTAATAAAAAAAAGTAAAACATTGTTGAGCCTCATCTTCATTTTAAAAGCATTCCATACTGCAGTTAAGACCATGGATCAGTTCTATAAATTTGTTTCTGAGTGAAGCAGATCAAAATCTCTCTCATCTGCAGTCTGGCTGATTTTGCCATCGCAAAACCAAGAGCATTTCCTTCCCCATCTTTCTCCTCTTACACAAATACCCCAAACTAAAGCATAAATTAAGAAACTATCTCCTCACCCCCAGCTGAAAATCCAACAAAATTTATGCAGAAGGATACTGTAAAACTTACGTGTAGAGTTTTATCTCTTTTCAAGAATTCTAAGCAAAGAAAGGGCAGTTAAAATGTAACCTGCTTTTAATGCAAGCCGTCTTTTATTATGAACAATCAGGACAAACCAAAATACAACAAAGGCATGAGCCAAAATTTAGTTTTCAGATAATCTGTTAATATTCTATTAATTAAGTTTATATATAAAGGAGCAGTCGGCATAAAAAGGTACTTCCAATATAGCTATAAAATGAACCAGTGTATTTTTTTCCTGATTGAAACAGAATGAGACAGTTTATTTTTAAACATACATGATTTCACAACTGTTTTCCTCTTTTAGTCTTAGTCCCAGGGCTCATTCTTTCTGGAACTGTGTATCTTACATTTTCAATGTATCAAATATAAAAAAAGGGTTGTTTTAGGCACAATCTATTTCAACTGTCGATTTTACTTAAATTTATTGAACTGGCCCAAGATACTTAACTGGCGTGAAGAGAAAGTGATACCATGAAAATAAAAGACATGCTGCTGTAGTCAGTAAAACGAGTTTACTGGAGCATTTTACAGTGCTACTGTACTTAAAGATTAATACCATGGGTAGAGTGACTACAGGAAGCTTTTTCAAAGAAGAACTATGCTTTAAATTATTCTTTGAATTAAAAAGAGGAAAGAGGGATTTCTTGATGCTTGGATTCTCCCCGTTGCTTGAGTCTGTCTGCAATATAAGATACAAAAACTAAATGCATAGTATTTCAATTTGAGAGATCTATCCTTACGATATTAATTCTTTTTCTTCCAACAATATATGGTATCAATCCCATAATTTGCTTTGGGAGAATACAATCGTGATTGAACAAAAAAAGCATATCGAATAAATTCAGGGAACTCACTGCATATAAAGCATGTATAAAGAGATCAGTACACCTGTTCTTACATCCATGTTCATTAGGAACGCAGAATGTGTTTCAAAGCCTTTCGGAAACAATTGGTAGATCTTACTGACTTTACTAAGCTTTGGATCAAATCTTGTAATTCTGGCAGTCACTTGTTACTTACGATACTGACCTAAAACAGTATGACATTTTTTATTTTTATATAAATAAAATATCAAAGCTACACTAACAATAACAGCTATTGGTTTCAGCATGAGCAGTTGATAGCTACCTCTGGAAGAAAGAAAAGTATTCTGTCCTTAAGTTGCAAAAACAGCTAGGTTTCCAAGATGAATAATTTCAGTTCTGACAAGAATATGCCATCAACAACTTCACTTATAACTGTAAGGGTACTGGCTGTTTTATTTAAATTTCTGTAACACAACTAAAGAGCATGCCATTGGATGCACAAACAATAAACAAAACTATCAAGTATTAAAATTATGAAGGCGACTATTCCTCCCCTGCTTATGTACAAACAAGCATAGGACACATATGCTGTGTCTAGCATTACTCTGCCTACCGAAACAAAACTTGATAATACAATATACTCACAAAGTCATAGAATCATTTAGGTTGGAAAAGACCTTTAGAATCATTGAGTCCAACTGTTACACTAGCAGTGCCAGGTCCACCACTGAAGCCTGGCCCTAAGCACCACACATACATGTAAATAATGATTATATGACTAAAGAGAATGCTGGATGGACTACCAAAAGCAAGAGTTTTCAAACAGCTTTCTCAGTTGCTAGATACCATCCAAGTTAATGAAAGAAAGATTCACTAATTACAATAGCTTGTTTAGGAACTTTATGGTCAGAAGAACTGTCTATTTCAAGTTCAGTAAATGAAAAAGGAATTAAAGCATCGCTAGGAGAAATGCTCACCTGCAACCGTTTTTTCCAAAGTAAATAACTTCTTCAGACCCATAGCTTGCAGTATCTGCCAAAATCTGCAAAACTCAAGCTCCTCTGAAGATAATGCCTAGTGATACTGTGTACACCCGTCATGGATATAATTTTTTTTTGGTGGCAGATGACAGAAAAAAATTGTGACTCTAGCAATCCTCAAAACCTTTTGCTACATTACTAAAAGACTCCAAACAAGATGAAAAGGAGACTGGATAAGAATAGCTCTGCAAAAACAATATTGCAAAGAATTCCTCTAGCAGGCAGTAACAATTATTACCCCACAAAGAACTTCACCTGGAGAACTCTAGGGAGAGTGATTAATGGGAACAATTCTGCAAAAGGAAGTATCAGGAACTGGGGTTATTCTGGGCTACTAGAGATTGTGAGAATGACATTACTAAGATGATGTCCTCAGTCCAATTTCAGGTACTTTTTATGACTCTTATGATGGTCACCAGGAAAATGAATCTTGCCAAAGGATATCAGAAGTAAACAGTAGCTAGCTATGATATGTATCTCAGTGTTATGACAGTTCTCAGGTTTTGTTCTTTACTACATAAAGTCTGTCTCAGAGTAAATAAGTGGAATTTCCTGCTTCTAGGACTCTATAGCAATTATAAGCCTCAGAATAAAAACAGGCGTGGGTAGTCACAAGCTATCTGTTAGATTTTTAATATGAGTTATTCACGTAGCTGAAGAGCTAATTTTACAGTGCTGTTAACAACTTTTACTAATGAAGTGCATAACTAAAGATAATTTTTGTTTGTGCTGGAAGATCCTAATGAACATCCCAATGTTTGTTAGGTAGACAAAGAAGAACAAAGAACAGTGTCTGAACCAGACGTGTACAGACATCAGTCTATCCCTTGACACTGTCCTGTGAAATGAAAAGAGGTTTTTCAGTGTCTGGCTGGGCTCAAAAATCAAGTTGATATCAGCAAGTTTCTAGCTGAAGATGCAAGAGTTTTCTCATTATCTTATTTCATTAATTTATTCATCTTCCTGTGAGATACTAGCTTCAACTAGTCAAAATAATTTTCCCCTAAGCAAAACCTCTTTCTCTTCCCCTTCACCCCTTCTTAAAAGTGAAAATAAACAGGAGTAAGGATTATGTATAAATCTGTCCTGTCTCGTAATTGCCATTTCGTTTTGGCAGCTACAGATCAAGGTACTTGTGAACCAGATGTTTTGGAAAGTGCTTTGTAAAGTTTTTTGGGATCCAACACAATCCAGACTGTGTTTCCTTCACACAGATTAATCTAGAAGTTGTTGATACACCACCTGTCATCTGGGCTTTTAAAGTGTTCCTTGCCACCACTTCTGAATGGCTGGAATCAAAGTCGACTAGAATGGTGCAACCTTAACACCTTTGTTCTACTATTTTTGGAAAATGCATCACTGGAACCAATGGCCTTGATATCAAATCTCAGGGTTATAATCTAGACACTTTGATCAGTTGTGTAATGCAGTTGATCGTATTTGAACTGCGTACAGGTATGAGGATGAACAAATTCAGAAGGAGAGGTAGATGTCATTGATCTAAAACCTGCCCAGGAGGAAGGTGAGGCACATTTGTGAGTGCTAGTTAACACACACACACGCACATGCTCCATACAGTTCAAAGAAAAAAAAGGAAGAGGAAAAGAGAAAGAAAATGTTAAAGAGAAAAAGAGAGAGAGAAAAAAAATACGAGAGAAAAGAAGATAAAAGAAATAAAAAAACCTTGATGATCACTCCTCTCCCCCAACTGTCAATAGATCAGCCCTTCAAGAGTCATGTCACCTCATTCTGTGAGAGTAGATATTTTGATTTAATTACTCCCTTTTGCCACGAGTAAGCACAATTTACTCCATTCTGACAACCTTCAAAAATGTAACTGCAGTTACACTTACAGAAACATTGCCAGAGATGAGATGGTGTTTAGGTTACTTCAGTTCTTAGGGAGGTTTTCATTATATGACTTTGTGGTATGTTAATATACAACTGCTCTCTGATAAAAGAAATTTCTTTGGCCCTCCCAAAAAATAGAGGAAAATAGAAAAATGTATAAAGGACACCAAAGGTATATATAGAATAATAAAAGCTACAATCCATTCCCTCAACAAAACATAAAGCGTTAAGAATGGTTAAGACACATCATCCTTATTCCAGCCACTGGGTGCAGCAAGAACACAGAGACTCTTACCAAGACACTGCCATGAAAAAGACTGGAAAGAATTCTCATTTATAACAGTTTGATCCTAACGGATTTCTGAAATTATTCAAACTCTGAGGACACACAATAATGCATTTGCTATTCATGGAATGGCATCACCATATCCTGCAAAAGAATTTGCCACAATATGAGCTTGAAACTTGCTTAAAAACTGGCTGGCAAATGGTCTGAATGAAAACAAAGATGCACAGGATGCACAAGTAAAGAAGCATTTGAAAAGGCAGATAAATAAAACCTGAACAGGAAAAGAACTTGACTTTCACATAGTGAAGAGAGAAAATAAAAGAACAAATAGACACACGCGCACAAGATCATAAATATAACAAAGGTGCTGTCCTAATCTAGTATATTAAAATAGCATAACTCAAAACTGATAAACACTTTCTGTTAGAAATACTGTATACTTACGGTTTGAGATTTCTTCTTTTTCTTTTTTATTGCCCTGAAAAAACCTTGCTTTTCTTTCTCCTTGAGCTGTTCTGAGTGACTGTTAAGGTTTTCAGGACTTTTCCTAAATATGAAATAGGATATTGTAAGAGAGATTTTATTTTGATATTATGTAAGTTCTGTGTAATAATGAGATTTGATGCCAAAGAACGCAAATTATTGATTAAAACAAACAGATTATTAATGTTTTAGCATTCATTGGTTCAAGGGTTACTGTACAAGTACAAGATACATAGTCTTATTAAATGGGATAGCAGGAACACAGTGTTAGGGTAGAATGATTAGCTCAAACCAGTGAATAGTTATTTAGGGAAAATGAAAGCATGCATGTCTTTTATTTTTAAGCTAGAATTTAATATTCAAACCAAAATATCACACACAAGATCTTTTAGAAAAATGAAAATCATATCTGAAAGAACATACAAATGGTGATGAGGTACAAAAGCACAGGTCCAGTTTATCCACTGCTTGCTGGAGAGCCAGGAGTTCCAAAGTTCACCAGAGAGAACCAATTTCAATTGAACTCCCTGACCTTTGCTGACACGGTTCCAAATTTATCATCAGGAAAGCTGGGGATCTACTGTTGTCCATTATAAATTAAAAGACTTCAGTTAGCTTGTTATGCATGGGTGAGACAGTGCTGTCAGAAGAAGATGGCCTGAAAGTGGAACAGGTGACTTGCCTGAAGACCTAATTACCACCTTTTAATTTGTCTGCACAGCTGAATTAACTACAGCTGATAAATAACATGTCACTTTAAACATACACAGTAAACTATGGATGTAAAGTACTGATACGGGGTAAAAAGTTTTATGTGGGACACTGGTGAGACATAACTGAATGCAGCTCTAGTGCCCTTTAAAATAGTTTGAAAGTCTGAAATGGTACAGGAAAGTGCCACAGAAATAATTTCAGAGATAGAAAGAATGGCCTACATTAAAAAGAACCAGAGATTTCAGTGTCTTCATTATGTTATAAAACACAACCAAACCAGCTGGAAATATTTAGTTTCCTCAATTGCAACGCACAGTACTTATGCAGGAAGAAATTAAAAAATACTAGAAAGATCTTTAAAATAAAGGGCAAAGACATAATAAGAACAAGTAGGTGGACAATGAAGCCAACTAAGTCATATTAGAGATAAAGCACTGATTTTAGCCATGAGAATCATTAAGCACCACAAAAACTCATCAGTTAAGAAGCGGATTTCCCATCTTTGACATCTCAAATCAGGACCGTGGACTCTTCTGGGAGACACACATTTGTCAGGTGCACTACCAGGCCTGGCCCCCAGAGAGTGGGTGATATTTAATGGCAATCAGCACAAGAAAATCCTACTGGGTGATTTAATAGTTCTTTTTCGCTCTAAAGTTGTATGAAGACAAAAATTAAATTGTTCCACTGCCTCCATGGAAAACCTAAAGGAAAGCCATGGTTCTAAGGGATGACAAACAGTAACAGCTTTTCCTGGAGCAACTTATGTTGTAATGTAGGAACACTTAGCTGTCTGCTATAGTTATCTTTGGCTTCTAATTCTGGCTTTAAATGCTGTGCTATCAGCTGGTGATTCAGCTGCTACTACATGCCAAGCTGAAATTTTTTATGCGAAAACACATAATTGAGGTGGGAATTACTGGAGTCATCCTCCTTATTGTTAAGAGTATCTTCATTCTGATAGGCGGTTTCCTCAATTTCTACACAAAACCACCTCAAGCTCAAAACGCTATCTGGTTCTAAATATAAATGCATGCAGTGCTCAAACACTGTAATAAAGTGCAAGTGTTGAGTAAGAGAATTGGCTTAGAGGAAAGACTTGTAGGCAGACAGGATGGTGGAAATTTTCCTACTTTAGATTTTTGGAACTTGCATCTAGATCCAGGAAAGGCATTCAGGTGCACAACATAGATCTAATGTGAAAATTACAAGGCTACAGGAAAAGCCTCTAGTTTAATATTAGATTTATAACACATATTTTAGACATGCTGGATTGCTAAGGATTCCTGTTTCTATCTCGTCCCTGTATTTGGTACCACTGCATAACAGCAGTAAGGCAGTTCTGTACTATTCACGTAAAGCACCAAGGAGAAAGCCCGAGAGTAAAGACTACTGACAGCTTTACAGGTATCGGTGAACTCACAAGACTGACTTTACGCAGACAAAACAACTACTGAATTCCTTACTAAATGATTTTTACTTAATATGTTAGAAAGTTAGAGGAAGGCATGCACCCCAAGTATCCTGCTTGTACCGGATGTCACATGAATGGGGCTGAGAATCTTCTGAGCCTTTCCCTAAAGGAGCGTCTGTGGATGCACCTCTGCAAACACACCCCAAATCACAGCCCCAGTGCAAATTACCAACCCAGCAACTACGTTGTCTGCTGAGGAACCAGTGTTACATCGTAAAGAAGTCCCCATGTGGTTACTCTACGTTGTCCTTCAAAATTTTTCAGTATGTCTTGCTAAGGCTTTTCTGTTCCGAAGACTATTCCACAAAGAGATGCTGTGTTTCTACAGGTGAACTTAATCTTCAGAAAAAAAGCTTGGGACTATTTTTACCATACTTTTAGACAGAGATGCACTCAAGTATGATTCTCTTCTTTGGTCCAGTGAACCTGGATGAGAAAACTGCTCCCTACAGCAGATGAGCACAGAGAAGTGATGTTCTGCACCAGCATTTCCTCTTTATGACTACAGTGACCAGGACAGAGAAGGAAAATAAGGGGCTGAGAACTCTGTTCATTTTCAATTGCTGCTTACCCAAAAGTCAGTGGTTTTACACCGATGGGTTTATGTCATTAACTCCTATGACTCATATTGCAGTACAGTTCTCTGAAAAAAACATTGACCTTGAAAAGCGACTGCTTCAAAACATGCTCATTATGTGAAGAGAGCGAACATATATAGCATTATAGCAGGAAGCTTCAACACCAGGATTTTGTACTGAGTAAAAATAGAGCAGAACATTTCGATCGATGAAATGAAATACAGGGATATTTTAGGCATCCCAAAAGACGATTTTCAGACAATGGACAGTATGGGGAAAAATTAGGATTATTAGAAAAAAATCCGTTATGGTACAGGCACTCAACACTAAACTCTTAGAATGTATAAGTGTGAGTATCTTGGTATTTTGCATAAAGCTTCAGCTCTTGAAAGCAAACACACCAGATTCTGTTACAGAGCGCTTCCTTTACTAGCAAGTAAGACTAGCCCTAGAGGAGAACTCCCACTCCAAGAGCTCACTCTCAAGCAGAAACCAAAGGCAAAACATACTGTTCTTTGTTATTTTATCTTCAGTGTGACTTTCGAGTGATTAGGACATATAATGTGTATCACATTGATTATTCTGGTCTGAGACACCTTGGAAAGTCTCAGGTACAAACAGAAACTCTGCGATTATGACTAGCATTTGTTGCCCTGGCAGGAAAGGTATCCAGCTTCATGGAGGTACAACGAGGTGTTGCAGCAAACATGCATGGGGAAAGCAAGCTGAGGTGCTTTAATATTACTTAAAAAGAATAAAGAGGAAGCATGCTGCATTCATGCTGCCATAGACAGATGTGTATTGCAGACAGCTTGTTTGCGGGGGATGGGACATTCCTCATGATTGTTTCAGTTGTTCTTCAGTGATTTTCATCTCAGCAGGCAGCCTGGCTTGGAAATCCTCTTTAACTGCCACTGTCCTACTCCCTTTACTGAACTGCTCACAATTACACGAGTAAGATTTTGGTCTAATGGAGGCGTTACTTAAATGTCTGAAGTTTTCTTTGGAAGACAAATGGACAAACACTAATTCTCCAAGTTAGCTTTTGGTTTACTTCAAGTGAAACCTGTGGCAGTTATGGAGTTACCACAAATGAAGGCAAGAAAATGTCAGAAAATAATGAAGCACCTCAAATAGATGGTTTAACTCAAGGTAGGAATCTCAGTTCCACAAGCTGAAACCCATAGTAAAACTACTTGGTCTAAAAGCCTGACAGTGAAAGCTTAAAAATCAGAGATCAAATCTGAACTTTGCTTGAAGCTGCAATTTTATATATTTGTTTTTCATGTGCAAAAGGAGGATTTATTAACTGGAATAAACTCCAGATCTACTATTCTACATACAGAATGTTACCCAGAGGCCAATAAAGCCACTAGATCACCTGAGGTTTTGGCATCACTAAAAAAAAGTACATATATAAATGTATATATACACACACATTTTACACCTTCCTCCCTTCCCTGATACCATTCAGCATTAGGAACCATAAAAATTTGGAAGTGGCTGGTTTTGTGTATTTATAAAGTGTAAATAATTTGCCGGCTTATTTTTGGGTCAGAATATTGTTGATTACAAATTCTGGAAAGCTTCCTTGCAAATAACAGCAGACTGCATCATCTGATTTTTAGTACAAAACAAAAACGCTGATGTTGAGGGAAGGGTCACAGAAGAGGCACTGGTTACTAGAAGAGACTGGTAGGGAGGCTCAGGCGTTGCCAAACTGATGAATAAAACCAGCGTATTGGATGGCAGTGCATACGCAAGACTCTCATGTAGGAAATGCCAGGGGGAAAGCTACCCGATTAGGAAGGTGAACATCTTCAAGCCATGCAGAGCAGACTCCTAAAGCCTCAACCAGTAGCATACAGAGGTGATTTTTAAACTTGCAAGTTACAAATTTGAAATTGCCTGATATTTTTTACAGATTTGAGAATTCTGTAAATGAACTGGAAATTATTTACAATGCAGCAAAGGTTGTACTGCAGACACAGCTGAACAAGCTTTAAACGAGCTCACTCGGATACTGGTAACCTTCTAGCTTCAGGAACATTAAGTGCAACTACATTGTTACATTGATACTGAAATGGCGATTTTATGGCCAGTTGCATCATGTTTACAAATTAATGTATTGTTTTGGAGTCATGAAAATTATAGAACTGTAAGTCTTTAACACTCCTAAGAATAGTATGTTCTTTTTCTTGTGCTCTTCTTGAATGACAGAGAGAGGTTGTGTGTGTTTACACATATTACATGCATATAAAAAGAATAATATTATATATATATTTCCCCTTTTATATTATTTTTGCAGGAAGGTATGACAAGCTGTTTGTCATAGAAGGAATATATTTATATGGACATAAAGGGTCTAAATAACAAAGCTTTCCAGAAGCCTCCAAACATCTTGTAAGTAATCAATGCAAACACTTCCAATACGATGCAAGATAAAGTACTGCATGGTGGAGTTTATACCAAAGAGGTATTTAGAACTGTAACAACAATAAAGATACCTCAGGCCAACATTCTGGCACACTGGCAGAACAAGGTTAAATATTTTGCCTATATCTACTCATTTTGCCCAGCTCAAGTCAAAGCTTGGACAAGTGAAAGAGAATAAAACATCTATTCTTGTATCAAAAAAGAGCAAGTTCAATGTCATTTACAGGAAATTAAACTCTGGCAGAGGAAAGATTGTCTAGAAGGACTGAAAATTTGCCTTGTTTTCAAATCAAGGTGTTTGAAGTTAAGAAATTATCTAGTAATTCAAGAGTAAGACCTGATGACAAAAGTTGAGTTTATAACATCTTTATTATAAAGAGGCAGGACAGTGGGGACGGAGTGAAGAAATGCACACAAAGACAAGGGAACATCCGTGACAATTCAGTCTAGCAAACATCCACAAAAATCTTTGACAGAAGAAAGGCAACACAGAGCAATAGTATGAGAGAAGCAATATTTTACAGTAGCGGCAAGTCCAGCTGGAATACATGTCACTTATAATTCAAGATGAATTGTCATGTACCAGTTACGTGTCAGTCAAACATCAAATATTTACTTCATCATAAAATTGATGTAAGCAGAATCACATTCCATTAGAGCTTTTCACATTTTCGTAAGCGTTTACATAACTTCTGTACAGAAAATCCAGTAGAGGAACACAGACTCTACATCACTCAGGAATTTGATTAAGCTGCATTTATGGCACAGAACAATTTTGCAACAACATTAGACCATTGCCAGGACAACTTGCACAGAGTTAACAGGTAGAGCTGGGCAGGAAACACTTCAGGAAAATAGGGAGTAGGAAAAGCAAAGAGCAAGAGAAATGCATGCCAAAATAGCAGGAACTTGGTATTGCCGGCACTGCCATTCCTCCCATTTCGGAAGAAGAAATGCTTATTCTTCTGTGAGTTCTTCTCTCAAAGGAGCTGTTCCACTTTGTGAAAATATTTGAGTACGTTAATTGGAGCAAGAGTTTAAATCTAACTCTCTCAAAGTTAATGAAGGGCCTTATACACTAGGCCATATTCAGCATCTCTGTGGTCATTTCACTATTTCAACAAGACAAAACAGCTTCAAGAGAATACATTGAGGGAAACAGAGAACATGCTCCAGAGTAACCTCTAACTTCTGGTTCAGGGCATTCACTTGTTAGATCTAAGATCTTGGTTCAAGCCTCTGGTGTAAATAATGAAGAAAAAAAGCCCTGCGCTTGAGTTCCTCACATTCCAAAAAATAATGCTGACCCCAGAATATTTGTTAGTTTGAGTGTATCTCTGGTTTTGATGGGCACTTCCATCCTGGAGCTGAATAATCTTCCCAATAAAAGGTTAGTGGATATCAGTCTATTCCTTTGAAAAGTTTTGCTTTCAATAATGTGGCATTGTAAGCAAAAAAAATACTTGGTCAAAAACTTCCCAACCAGCTCTAATAACATATGTTATTATTTCAGTTCAGAGTTAAAATAACATGACATGTTTCTTCGCAATGACCACATAATAAAAGGTAATACACTGCTGAACGATATATAAAGCAAAACAATTTTTCAGTCAGCTTATGTTATATGCAAGATAAAAAGATTCAGATACGAAGGAGAATAAAACATGTAAACGGGTTCAATAGCAGGAATAAATACCTTCTTTAGCCACATAAATCACAACATAAGTGCCACCTTTTTACATAAAAGACCAGGTTCCTCAGCTAACTTCCACAAAGTGGATGTAGGTGGAGCTACTGAAGGACAGGAAGCAGACTCTAGTGAATCAGAGCAGGTGACAAGGGTTCTGGAGTAAACATCTGTTACTGACATGGGTATATAACCTGAATACAAGCTGAAATACCATTTTTTCCCCTTCCCACCCTCCTCCCCAACCCTTTCGTTTTTTAAGCAGGTAATCCAGAGGTTATTCAAGTGAAATCACATTAAGTCAAGAAGCCACTGAAACAGTTCTTTAGATAGAATGATTTTATCACACTTTCAGTGAGCAGTGTTTCAGATAGTGGTATGAAGCATAGTTGAACCATGCGAACGCATACAGTCCGTTCCTCCCACCAATCCTTTGAAGCTCCATTTGCTTATTTTTATTCAGTGTGCTTTATTGTGACTGAACAAAGTAGAAGGTTAAGAGTGTTTTAGAGCTGAACAGCTCTCAGAGCAACAAAATTAAGGTATTTCCCTTTAAGTCCTGCAAAGCTACACACAAGCTGTCATTCTATTAACATAATTCTGGCTACTTATTCTATGTTATATAATGGAGCCATGTGATGCTTTTAAATCTTTTAAAATCAATACACGCCATTAAGATGTTGCTTAGTCCATTCTCCCATAGAACATACTCATTTCCTTCTGTGGTGCATCAGCAAAAAGAGCAGCAGTCCCCATTGTAGGGTGAATATATTCTTCATTAATACAATCCTATTTTATATATGGAAACATGCATTTTGATTTTTTTTTGTTTGTCTGGCAATTCATGCTTCTGGAATCCACAGATAAAGCTATGGCCTTGATATCCACACTATACGCACACAAGCACTTTGTATTATCTTTAACTGAAGATTAATAGTGGGAAAAAATCAGGAAAGACTGGATAAAAGTATATAAACTTTAATGCATCCAGTGCAATGGTGTAGTGAATATTTCTTGTTGCTCAAAAGGGGACAGAAAACATGCAATGGTACATCAGTATAGTCAGAGGAAGCAATCAAGCACCTACAGACAATTGCAAATTTTGATAAAAACCCGGTGTTTTTCCCCCCTCCTGTTAAAAATATCTTTTTTTTTTTTTTTTCCTGCCATTCTCTACACATCTGTGTAAATAACAACTCACCAAGTATCAAAGGTGGTCTGTCTCTTTGAGTGGTTTGCCACCGTGCCGCTGTCTGCTGAGGCTCTGTTTGACACGTTGTTTTCTATGTACGTACTGTCTGGACGCGGAGATGGAACTGAACAGAGAAACAGAAAACAACACGCTTGTACTTTCTGTACAAGTGAAAAAAAGCATACTTTTTTATTCTTTGAAAAGCTGTTGTTCTGTAATACTTGCAAGGCAGTATTAGCTGTAAAATGGGACCATCATCAGAACTTGGCTAAGGTGTTATTAGATTTGCGAACATTCCTATCTGTAGGGAGCCACAAGTGCGTTTGATATTTAGAAAAAGGAAACAGAGTAACGGTTTGGACTGTTGTTCTTAAACACACAAAATACTGCAGTTTACACTTTGTTTTCAATTAGACCTTTAAAAAAGTTGTATTTGCCCTGAAAAAAATACTTTGGATTTTAATATAACTAGAAAAGGATCAAAATCAGATCTTAAATATTTTAATAAAACAATATACTGTGGCTTTGAAAATAGGTTATACATGTACCTAGAATGCAAATTCATTAGAATTATGAATATCACCGGAAAAACCTGCACTGGATTAAAAATTGATCAGATAGTAGATGCAGCATTACTGCAGCATCACATTATACAATCTATCAAAATTAAAACTAATCTTTTGTTCAAGCTGTAGTACAAAAGTACATGCTAATAAGTACTGTCTTAATACGAAAGTTAAGAACTGCATAAATATGAATTTACTTTTTTCATAGTAACTTTTTCTTCCAATAGTTTTTGCATATACTTCTATAAATGTATTATTTAAATATAGTATCATTTTCTCAAAGCAATAATTAAGTCTAAAATAGATTTGTTTCATAGATATAGTTAAAGAGAAAGAAACCTCTGTTTTATAAGAAGGGATTGAATAAATCTCAGTTTCTTTAGCACATGACTTACAGAAAGTCATTCCTCCTTGGAGCTTCTGTTTCACTATGTATAAAAAAATGACGATAATCCATGTCCAATTTTAGGAGTGTTTTAAGGATTAATAAATGCAATTCAGAATTGAGGATTCTTAAGAATTCTGTTGCACACAATAAAAAACTTTACACTCAAAAGCATCGCTCAAAACAGTACAAGCTTTAATATTGCTTAGAGGTTTTAATACTGCAATGGGACACTTCCAGGGATTGGCAGATTTTAACTTGCCTAAACCAGGTCATCAGTCAACTGATCAACCTGAAGAGGATCGGAGGGAGCTTTGTGACTCTACTTAAGGTTATTAGCTGACTCATAATTGAGTTTTAGCTGATTGGGACTTCTTAAGGTTAAGAGGAGCTCTGCAAGACTCCTAACACTTGCAGGACAGTAATTAGCTTCTTATCATCTTTGTCTTTTTCAAAAGGATTACCCAGGCTTAGCCATGAGGCAGCTGCTCAGAAATCACCATCTTCTGCATATCGTAATAGAAAAATATCTATTTGTGTGTATATACATATATACACACACGTGCCAGCATATATATATATATATATATATATACACACACATACATATACGTGCACATACACAGTCTTGTTTTATTATTTATTCTGGACTGGAATTATATAAATGTGCTTTTGCTTGTAGGAGACTTGGATCCTTAGCGAGTCTGAATAAAATAAATGAATATAGGTTTTGAGCAGTGAAAAGCTAGCATTACAGTTCCACGCACCAAGGTATCTAAAATAGATCTTACTGATGTATGTTAATGTGTTAAAAGTACAAAGGTGTTTAGATATATTGTTAATAAGAATTTAAGCCAGAAATTAAAAACAGTAATTAACTGCTTGCTCTGGTAATATTAATTTATTTTGTTCAACTTCTGATAAATTGTCTTCTGCTTTACAAGGTACTACACTGGATATAGTTTTCAAAGTGAATCATAGAATCTTTAAGGTTGCAACTGACCTCTAAGATCATCAAGTCCAACTGCCAATCCAACACTACCATGAGCACTAAACCACATCCAGAAGTGCCACATCTACACGTTCTTTGAACACCTCCAGGGATGGTGACTCCACCACTTCCCTGGGCAGCCTGTTCCAATGCCTCACCACTCTTTCAGTAAAGAAATTTTTCCTAATATCCAACCTAAACGTCCCCTGTTGCTACTTGAGGCCATTTTCTCTTGTCCTATTGCTTGTTACTTGGGAGAAGAGACTAACCCCCACCTCGCTACAAGCTCCTCTCAGGTAGCTGTAGAGAGCAACAAGGTCTCCGCTCGTGCTCCTCTTCTCCAGGCTAAACAATCCCAGTTCCCTCAGCCATTCCTCATAAGACTGTTCTCCAGTTCCCTCACCAGGTTAATCACCAGCTTCAGGAGTTGTCATTAGCAAATAAATAATATGATATTAATATAGTTAATGCCTACAACCTATCAGGTCAACTCAGTCTCTGAAAGTGGGGTAACGATTCTTTTTCCAACATACTTTTCCAGTTCTTCCTGTTAGTTCTCTGTATCCATTGCTGCTATTTAATTTATATTCCATATTAAAATTCTTGTATAATTTTCAAAGATCTACCATAAAATTACCTCTGTAAAAGCTGCCAACTCTTCTTGGAACAGGGTCATTATACAGAATTCTATTTTCTTTAGTAGATGCTCCATCTTCTGTGTGTGGATCATGATATGCTCCACCCTAAACAAAAGACCAATCAACTAATTAAAATGAAAGATTATAAACTGACTCACAGTTTTTAACCAATATACACAAGCAAGAAGCCTCAAACTCCACAACACACATTTTTCCTTTCATGTTGCTAATAACTGTCAATATCAAATTGCGGACTATGTAATCAATAATTACTTGGCTTAGCTACTTGCTTGTTTTTTTCCACAATGACAAAATATTCACAAAACTTTGCCTCTTAGTTGTAATTTCACAGACTTTAGCGTGATTCAGACCCTTGTATTTTTGCTGGGAATGAAATGCATTTTTAAAATCTTTGGAGGAATCTTTTACTGGAGGCCTTGTTAAATTAAGGCCTTCTCATGGAATCTAGTTACTCTGCCACTGGCAAACTTTAAAAAGCAAACACATTATGCATGTAATTTGTGATAATTTGCAACACCAAAGCACTACCTCTTATCAGCTGTTGTACAGTAGTATCTAGAGGTGCCAACAGGCCCAAAATCTACTCTATGCAAAATAAGAGGTAGTCCCTGAAGTAAGAAATCTGTAAGCTAAATAGTTAAGTCAGACAGGATAGCAAAAAGAGTACCATAACCTCTAATTTACTCTACTTTCCCGAATACGGTACTTTCTGGGAGTACTTCAAGCAAAAGCATAAATAAGCCCACATGCATCTAATTTGTCACCAAAAATGACTTAACCTCACTCTTAAATAAGCCAGATGCTGTAATTTTTCCCACATATGGACTGAGTGGATAAAATTCAAAGCTCTCTACAAGAATCCATGGGAAACTGTACTGAAATCCCTATATAAATTTAAATCTAGAATGTCCAAGAAGGACAAAGGTTAAAAATACAAAACTGCAGAAAAAACAACCAGAATTAAGAACTGTGATTTCAATGCATTATTAGGGTGACTGGCAAAATCTATTTTGCCTTTTATTAATGAAGATCTGGCCTCACTATCACAGATAAAAAACACACCTTGAAATTGTGCCAAAATGGGAAGTCCAGCTAGAACAATGCTTGAAATCAGTTTGATTCTTCTAAAATTTACAAAAGGCTGAAGTATTTGATTAAATTACTACTTGTGTAAGATATTTCTTTTTTTTCCCAGCAGTTAACTTACAAACATGAGACACTAATAGCAACTTGTACTTGGTTTTCTTCTGCTTGCACCCTTTTGTGTACATTTAATTTAAAATTAAAAAGAAACCTTAAAACAAAAGTGTTGTACTGAGACGTGAAAAGCCCCCAAAATAATACTGAATGTAAGTTTTTTCTTATTTCTCTTTTGAAAAAAAGTAACATTTAAAGCCTCGCAAGCAATGAATGTTTTTCTTTAAAAACACGTGGTAGAGCCAAAGAGAAAATCAATGAGAAACTAGAAACATGGAAGTGAAGAAACTTCACAAGCTATGAGCAGAGAGAGAAAACCAGTACAACTGATTATAAAAAAAAAACACAACAAAAAACAAAGAGGGAAACAATAAAGAAACTAACATAACATTTTTGTTATTCCTTTTTTTGCTGCTTTTAGCTCAGTAATCCTGAGGGAAGCAATATTTTCCGATTTCTAATGCAGAATGTAGAAAAAAAAAAGGAAAAAAAACAGGATAGGAAGGTGCCAAAGAATGACCTCTTTATGAAAATGCCTTTATGAGGCATAAGACTGACAATTTAATTCTGATTTGTTACTGAAAATTGTATAAACAAAAAGCATTTACAGACTTGCCATCCATTTCAGAAGAGTATTTTTCTTTTCAGACTTCTGAGTGTTAAAATACAGATTTAAAAACATTAACTGAATGCTTAAGTTTAAAAGCACTGAGCATAAGAAATAAAGGCAAGTTCTTCCCAAATGATTAAGCATTCCAAAGTAAACACAAATAAACCAAAACCACTAAGATATACATTATTTGTTTCTAATTAAAACAAAGAATTGTTGGATCAATTGCCAAAAGACGAAGAATGATCTGATAAAAACAATTTGCCTCTACATAACATGAAAGAAATTAAAATTACTTATCAAATTAATATCTGCTACCTAATGCAGATGAAGATCCTAATGCACAGAAGAATACCAGGTAGCATGAGCTTTTAAAATGAAAAATTCAAATGCTGGTGTTATTGCCTTTTACAGTAACATCCTGCAGAGTGAGGAACATTTAACATGACTGAAATCAGAGAGGAAAATTACTACATAAAGGAAAAAAACTCTCAGTTTTGAAATGGAGTTGCTGTAATCCCGTCTAAGTAGCTGCTTTTTTTTTTTTGGTATTAAGTTGTATTTCTATTCTGATGAGGTCTTTTCTCCTGTGTGAATTCACATAATCCTGAATGAAGGAGATGTGTTAAGAATGAAAAACATATACCTCTTTTTTTTCATACTGGACTGAAGAAGCAACCACTAGCCGAAAACTCTTTTTTATGGTACTTGTAAATCACTATCAAATCAGCTACATATATTTCTTATATAAACTAGAGTAGGTAGAGTTTTTTAGTTTCCCACAGTAAAGCACAATTTTTAGGCCTTAAATACCATTTCCAGCTCTTTGACTTCTCTCAATCTGTCCACAAATCAGACCTAGATGTACTCTCCTCAAAAGCTATTTTATCACAGATGTACATACAGAGAAACAAACACTCATTTTTGTACTTCCCTCTGTGCCACTTTGCTCCAGTTTGGACCAATAGGATAGTAATTTAAAGATCTCGGGACAAATGCAGTCATCTCTACACACCTGATGTGTAAAACATCAGATAATTCAGAAGTGTTATGTAAGGAATGTAAATCCGTACCAGATCTAGCCCTTCCTCTACTCGTTAAATAACGCTTGTAGTAAAACACAACGTGGCATCTCGTGACAGTATTCACTGTAAGGGGTCTATTTATCAGTTGCTACTCCAGCATAAAATCTCTAGACTACCCTGGTTATTTATTGTGCTAATCAAGACATATTGCAAGTTTTGATATTCCTTGAGCAAATTCTGGCATTTCACCAATAATGTCCTGCTATAAGCAAGCTCACTTCAGTAATTACCATTAGCATTCATAACGGAAACACATACAAGAAAAGCTAAATAAAGATACAAATGAGAAGGTTAAATAAGCAAACCAACATGACAAAAATGACACCAGACAACGTAGCCAAAGACTAGGAACTACTAATGAAATTTTAACTGCAGAGACAAATTCTTCTACTCTCACATTTCAGTATTTTTTAGAGATTGGTATTCATAGTCCATTTTTAAAAATAGCCTCTCATTTTGCACTTGAAATATTTAGCCCTTCTGAAAAAAAACCCCAAACAACCCTTGTTGCCTCACGAGACAAATAACGGCAAACAAACAAACAGAAGAGAGAAAGCAGGACACCATCCCCATAAGAAGTAAAGAGAGGAAGGTAAGCCTTCCGTAATAGGCAACATTTGGAACTAACCCTATTAGTATCGTCCGTACAGTCTTCTCGTGACGAGCCAACAGATCTTGTGAGTGACTTATGCTGCACCTGTGGAGATAACAGTTGCAGGCTGTTTGCTCTGGCTGCCATCCCTTGCCCTATGCTTAAGCCACCCTCTGAGCCCTTTGACCTCACTCTGTCCCGGCTCACATACATCGAGTGTCTATGAGGGCGCTGCTGAGAAGAAAAAGGACTGGTATAACCTAGACCATAGGAAAAAGATTCATGTGGAGCAGAGAGAGAGTGGGAATGGCTTCCATCCATGTGATCTGGCAGTTTTAACTCCTCCATTGTTTTGGAGTGTCTTGTCGATGGTCTTCGGGTCTCCAGGGTACCCTCGCTGCGGTTATTCCTCCCAGACGGACTGAGCAAAGTTCTGTTGTCGCCATGTCGGGGTGCAGTTGGACTGGTAGGAGAGTTCAAGTCCATACAGCTGGATGGAAAATACCTGCCGCTGTTTGGTTCTGCAGCTTGGGCTCTGGCCTCAGAAAGGTTGCCCACGGATTTTGAGTCTGTCAGAACACCGTGGCTCTTTGACTTTGTGCGATACGAAGGACTCTTAGAGGACTGTGGGATGGTATCAATGTAGCTGTGGCGACTGTGCTTATCGCCAGGTTGCAGTGTCCCGGTTTTGCTTTGAGAAGTTTCTATAAACGAGTGCCGGTTCTGCTGAGATCTGGTGTTAGACTTCAGGTACTTTGTGCCCGAACTTTCGGAACTTTTTGGGTCCACATTAAAATCAAATTCTGTTTTCGCCTTTGTTTCCTTTGGGCTGAGAAGATGTGGCATGTTATTATTGGCTAGATCCTTGTTGCCAGATCCAGGTGTGTTGCTCGATTTTTTTGCATGCATTGGACTATGTGCAGGTCCAGGTAGGTTTCCATTTAAAAAACTTTCATTTGCTGGAAGACCCTCTTCTCTTGGCCCGCCAACCCCTAGTGTCTGCATATCCTTGCTGTTTGATCTGTGATGTGACTGCAAAGCAGAACTTTTGCTGGCTTGATTTCTACATTAAAATGCATAAAGAAGCATTAATATACCAGATTACATATTCATGTATTAATAACTTCAACAAAAGTACACTCAACTCAGAAAGGCGTTGCCACTTAAAAACATAAAATTTAACTGCAGTAAGATCAAATATTGCCAGCTAGGCATCAAAAGCTTCACTAAAATAACAGATTTCCAAGTGTTAGTACATTGTTGTTTCTTTCTGGCTATATCCTGATGGACAAACTCAGCTCTGGTTAATGGATTTTGCTGACAAAACCAACAAAGATATAAAATCCAATCATAGAAATTCCAACATACATTTACACATTTATGCATGTGTGTAACACACGTGCACATCAAAAATGTAAGCACATTTGGAAAATTAGCTGTATATCCATTGAAAAAGATCTTAAATATACCTAGCATATCAAAGTGAAGGTACAACAATAAAGTATAGCGGCAGTGTCTAAAAACCACAGCATAGTCAATGCTCCAGGCCATCTAATGTATGTCTGATTTGGAGGGGGAAGGGCAGGGGGAGGAGGGGGAGAAGTGTTTATTGGGCTGCTAAAGACATTCAGACGGAGTGAGCCTGAGCTCAGTGCAGCAAAGTATGCCCTGTAACACACCAACCCCAAAACCAGGGCTACCACAGGAACCCCATCTTCTGTGGAACTTCGCACTATCCCAGTTCTTGGCACATTAACTTATTCCCAGAGCTGCACCCAAAATGCCCTGCAGCCAAACTGACTTGGTGCAGAGCTATTTGGTTATTTCTGTAATGAGTCTGTACCTTTGTTGATTTTATTGATAAATATAATTGGATGATGCTAGCCATTTTTATGGCTAGGATTTTTGCATTACCCACTTTCAGTGATCTAATTATGAACCCTATTAGCATTTCTAGAAATTTAGCAATTTCAGTGCCAGTTTAAAATATTTTTTAGCTAAAAGGGAGTGCATTTTTACAAAAAATTTAAAGATATAAGGAACCTAGTAATTTTAAATCATGCAGCTAGGCAAGTCTTTTAGACAAGAAGTTTCCAATGGATTTAGGTTTTTCTTTCTGATGCCACATCTCTAACTTCTATCCTAAATGACTATAAGGGCAGCTAAAATGTTGAGGTGTCTATTTCTGAAAAAGTATAGACTGTAAATATTATCATCCCAAATCTTAAAATGAGGAGTAATTTTTTGAATCTCACAGGAAGAGCTAAAGAAAAACACGGCTAGGATCAAAAGCCACTACCCACTATGCATACTTGAGAGGGCAACCTTTAGGAAATCTTTTGTCAGAAGAATACCATGAGGCTTTTTGTATTGAAGTATTTTATCTTCCAGTAAACCTGGCTTGTTGTTGTATTAGGATCACGTGGCTTCTCTCAAGCTACATGGTTCTAACAAGGCAGTCACTGAGCAAATATACCCTACTTTAAGTTCAACTGGACTAGACTGTTCAACCCCAATTTTGAGCATGAACAATGCACATATTTTCAGGACAATTTTCAGGATATTTAGATGGTAAAAATCTGTGTGAATTTTGAGCTTGCAAATACCAAAACTTTGGATAGATTTGGACATGTAAACTAATAGTAGCAGTCCAAAGAAAAGAGCATTCCTTTAGAATCTCAGGGGTCCTTCAAACCACAAAACTCATATCGTTGTTCAAGGAAAAGGCTAACATTTTTTTAAGGTGGGTAAGCCAACTTATTTTTCCTTCACCGTATGCAGAAATGGCTTTAACATTTTCTTTGTTTTTTTAGAAGAAGCATTCAGCCTGATGCAGAAAGCTAGCAAGAATTTCACCTTGAATAGCTATGATACAGTAAAACTGTGTCCTCTTCCTTCATTAAGTCAGTCAACATGGAACAATATATATGTCTCGATGTGCCTAAGCTATCAAATGACTAATTTGCTTTTCTCATAGATGATGTTGTATGTAAGCACGATAGCAACTCACTCACATTGGCAGAGCAAATGTCAGTGGTGATGGTGACGTGACTACGTTTACCTGTTAGATAAAGTGTTGCTGTCTACATGGTAGGGTTTTCTCTTAGCTGACCGCGAAGGTGAGCTTCCACAGCGATCCAAGAGTCTTTGGGTTTGAAACGAAGGATGGTTCAGACATTGCTCTGTCAAATATCTATCTGCTGGATCTAACTTCAGTAAGTTCTTTGGAAAACAAATCCCAAAGTTTAGATGTTAGTAAACATATTTGCATCAGCAAAAAATGTAACAAAATAAAGAACGTTCTTGAGATAGTTTTTTAACCTTCAGAGTTCCTGTGACTAGATGTAACTGCTAGAATACTTTCATGTTGCATTAAACTATATACAATACAAAATAAACACAAAACCTACGTTCTACTTAAGAGATGGAAGGCTTCGGCCTTGCTTATTATGAAACATATATATGTGCTATATGTATATAATGAATACATATACATACATATATAGTTATATACGTGGGTTTAAATAAGTTTAAAATACAAAAATACCTATTTTTTTCAAAATATGCCTTATGTATGTATCTATACATGTTGAAAGCATATGCATTTTAAACATATTTTTCAGGAGACACTTTACAACAACGTTGTTTAGAATGAAAAATATTAACCTAACCAATAATAAAATGCTACAATAAAACAGGCTTTATAAACAAACAGAACAAGCATATGGAAATGCTTTTATGCAAACAAAAACTTTCTTTTTAAGTTACCATTTTTAAAGATGTAGAAATACAAGAGGTCTTTTTTTTACTTTTAGGGTTCAAGGCCAAACATATTTTTAAAGAATCACTTAAACTGCTTACAGCACTCTCAGAATAACATTTGCCTTGTAATTCTATTAAATTTACTGTGATTCTAATCAAAGACACTTTCTGACATGTAGAAAATATTTAATCACAAAATTGAAAACCAGCAGGTTAGGTGTTTTGTTAAGTTTGAAAGGTTTCTTGCAAGAGTGCGGAAACACAAAAGTTAACTTCGAATATTTGAGCGTGCATGACTGTCAGCAAAGATAAAGCTTCAAATGGCTACTGAGTAAAAGGAATAGCTATTTTTAAAGTGTTATATAAGTTAAATAGTGAACAACTCTACATATGCATATATACACAATGCATATCTGTATATGCATGAACATAGTATTCAGCCACTTGACTACAATCTGTTTTTTTCTCCACAAACTACATACTCATGTGGTTTGGTCACAGTATGTCGAATCTTCCTTTTTCAAGTGACAAACTGTGTACTGAATGATTAACTTTTTCTTTTCCCCTTTTTTTCCAGTGCTCATCACCACAGTGGTTAGTATGGCCAAACACGAGAATGCCATATGTAGTTTCTCCATTTCTCCTCAGAAGAGATGTCCAAAGGCTTCCTTCAAGTGCCTGTACACTAACTTGCAGAGCCTGGGCCACAGACTAGGAGAACTGGAAGTCCCTAGGGAACTGCAAGGCTGCAAAGCTGCCTGGAATCACAGAGAAGTAGTGGGACAGGGCTTGTGTCTGAGGCATGGTCACTGATGGGCATAGACTGGGTGCAGAAGGAAGGACATGGGGAAGGTGAAGAGTGGCACCTCATGTAATTGAGTTCCTGGATGGTATCAAATGCCAGCCAGAAGGCATATATGTCTCTGGATCAGGATTGGAATAGAAAGTAACATTTTTGATGTTATGGTAGGGGTTTGCTAAGAACCATGCACTGAAAAGCATTAAGAAGATCAAGAGGACAACTGTCTACAACAAACGTCTCCTCAATCACAGGTCCTCATCCTCATGGCAGACTTCAACTATCCAAACATCTAGCCTGTGTATGTCATCCAGGATATTTCTAAACTATGTAGGTGGCAATTTGGAGAAGCAAATCAGCCAAGGGCAGGACATCACTCTATTTGACCTGCTGCTCACCAACAGTAGTGACAAATCTAATCATCTGTAGCAGCCATGAGATGATTACAGTTAGAATTCAAAGAAAGGGTGGGAAGATAAGCACTGGGAATGGGACCCAGGACTTCAGGAGAGTAAACTTGAGCTTCTATAAAGAATTACTGGGCAGAATCTCCTGTAAAACTGCCATCAGAGGAGAGGTGTCCGGGAGAGCCACTTGATTTTTAAAGAAAATTTGTTGAGAGTTCAGGAACAAAGCATCTTACTGCACAGAAGACAACAAAATTTTGCATAAGGTCAGGTTGGCTAAACGAAGTTTCTTAATGAACGAAAATGCAAAGCAGGAGCATATAAGAAGTAGAGTCAAAGACAGGATACAAAGCAGGACCATAAAAGCACTGCATTAGCAAAAAGGATAGACCATTTTGAAAGCCAGCTGGAGCTAAGGCAAGAGAAGAACATCAAGGCTAAAAAGAAGGCGTTCTACAAGGATTCTAATAGTAAATGGAAGCTCAGAGAAAATGCAGTCTGCTGCTGAATGGGGGAGACAACTGAAGGATCAATGTTACAAAAAAAATGGAAATACTTAACAACTTGTTTGCCCAAGTCATCACATGCAAAACCAGCTCCCAACTCCCAAATGCATGCCTTTAAAACAGCATGGTTCGTGAAAGAGAGGGGAAGAGAGAAGCAACATAGCACCAGGGCCAAACAAGTGCCTCTTCATTAATCCAGTCCAGAAATGCTCTCTAAAGAGACATATATCAGTAACTCACTACTTTAGCTGGAATAAATTGAAGTATGGCTTAGTCAGTAATCTAGTAATCAGATCCGAGGTTGCTGGGAATGCAGGTAACGAGGAACACACCAAGCGCGGAAGTGTGTCAGACTGTCCGGTGTTTGAAGACAGCCATAAGCAAAGTATGTGCAGCATTTCCAGCATGCAACTTAACCACAAGTCTCTTCTGTTCTCTTCTTGTAAGCTTCTGCTCATTCTCTAACAATTCCCTAACAAATCCTGAATTAAGCAATGTAGGTCAAACAGAAAATATCCCCTCTACAGAATCCCCAACCATTCTCACCTTGTAGGGAGAAAAGTTGAAAAGAATTATTTAAAGTGGAATGGAATTATTTGGAAATCTGCGTTTCCCCCAAATTCAAGTGTCTCACTTCACAACTTTGCAACTTTTAAATTATACCAAAAGAACCCAAAACACATGGAGATATAACATAAAAATCAGGATAAAATGAAAATAAACCCCACCCTAGTACATCTAACAACAGTGTGAAGAATGATCTTGAAACTGCCGTTCTGCAATATGCTACCACAGCGTTTGCTACAGCTAACTATGATGCTAGAAAAAAGTTTCTGTGAATTAGAAAATAGAGGAGAACGTATAATACCAAAACAAGCAATTATATGGACTGAGGGACCTAATTTTGCAAATTCCATGAAATCAAGACAAAAGCTATGCTGACTCTCTTCATGAGGCAGTGAGATTAAATGAAAGTGACTTGAACGAGCTGTGTTAAAGAAAAGAGTAGAGTAAATTTGGTAGATTTCTGCTGGCTACATCAGTACTGCTAAAAACCAAGTAAACACCAAAGGATACCCCAAAGCAGATAAACTCTGGCTCCCTAGACAACAGATGGAGATGAGTTCAGAACCACACAATCCATTTAGAATTGAGTAGTCACATTCACACTTTGTCCCAGATCACCTTTAATTCTTAGGTGGTACCACTGTGATTCTAAACTTAATCTTTGACATTGATTTTTTTTTCAGCTTACTGTGGATGAAATAATGGGAGGGTTGTACTGCAGCTTACTATGATGATGTTTTTATAGAAGAATACTAAGGAAAACTATATGTGTTACATACTCAGGAACAGGGCACAAATGCTTTACAATGTTTGGCTGTTTTGAGAGGAGCCAGCTTCTACTGATCCCCTGTAAGAAACTTTCTCAGGACCATTACCCTAGTTTGGCCATGGGTAACTAGCCCACTTGTTCCAAAATCAGACTGAAGAACAACTTAAGACACATGCTGTGCAAAGGTGAGCGATAGCAAGCAGATTAAGGGCTCAGGCAAAAATAAAAAATACTGTTTGTCAATTTTATCTTTAGCAATCATCTGTATCCTTATGCTTACCCAAAACCAAACGAACAACTCAAATTAGTAAACACTCTGTGGATTTATCTAAATTTCTTACCAGCTGAAAGCTCATACTCCAGCATTACTAAGGTAATCTGAGCATGTCTCAGTATAGGAGAGATATCGAGGTGTTGGAGCGAGTGCAGAGGAGGGCAACAAAGCTGGTGAAGGGCCTGGAGAACAGACCTTGTGAGGAGCGATTGGGGGAGCTGGGTCTGTTCAGTTTGGCGAAGAGGAGGCTGAGGGGGGATCTCATCATGCTCTACAGTTACTTGCAAGGACATTGTAGAGAGGTTGGTGCTGGTCTCTTCTCACAGGTAATTAGGGACAGAACCAGGGGGAATGGTTGCAAGTTGCAACAGGGCAGGTTTAGGCTGGACATTAGGAAGAAATTCTTCACAGAAAGAGTGGTCAGACACTGGAACAGACTGCCTAGGGAGGTGGTTGAGTCGCCATCCCTGGATGTGTTCAAGTGTCGTTTAGATGTGGTGTTGGGTGATACAGTTTAGGGGTGAACTTGTAGTGTGGTTGGACTCGATGATCCCAAGGGTCTTTTCCAACCTGAATTGTTCTACGATTCTACGTCAGTGCAAATGCTGCAAATGATGGCGATTCTTTTGTTTGGACTATGTGCTGTTTATCAAATCGGTCAAATCTGAGCAGACTCTTCTTGGCATTTGCAAGGGGTATTTTCCCGATTCCTATGAAATATCAAGCCTTGCTACAAAAAATGGTGATATCAAAATATCTCAAAAGGAAGTTCACAAGTACTTTTAAGATGTATATTAGTAAGCAAAGTCAAAAAGCCACTCACATCTTTCACTACATATTACAGACAGAAAATGAAATACATTTTCCTACCTTCATAAGATCAAGCAATACACCACTTAAAATTCCCAAGTATCTTCTCTCTAAAGACTGTGGATGATTGACTGCTGGAAACTGTAAAAATAATATAGCATAAATACATTGAGAATGTAAACAAGGTATACATGCATACAATGTTTAAAAAAATAGAAATTACACGGTGAATCAAGGGATGTAATTAATTAGAATCATATGCACTGAAAAAGTCAGTGGTTTATAGAATCATTACAAAACATTTTAACAGAACAAATAGCTATTGATGTATGATATGCATCTGGGCAACCAAAGAAAGTATTCTTGATTAGTAAGGCAGCCAAGGAATGTCTCTCAAATGAGAAATAATCAGCTTAGGTTTATAAATGTGTTTGCTGCATTATGATTGACAAGAGGTGGGAGGTTTAAAATAGATTCAGAAATAATGTGTTATATATTAAAGAGATTAAAAATAGCTTTGAGAGAATTTGAAAGTGCAAATAGGGTACTAATTCAATACAAAAGAGTGACAATTCCAAAAATTTTTTCAGGGAAAAACATTAAAACCCCAAAGATTTAAGGTTCAGGATTACTCCTGTGGGCATGCTGCAGGAAGAACTGGCAACACCATGATAAGTAATGAACACTGCTGGAGGGCATCGTTTGGCAACTAGAGCCTGGACAAAACCCGATAAAGGCAGTATTTGAAACCAGCCTTGTCTAGAAAGAAGAAAAGGACAGGCAGGGATGATTTGAAGAATGAAAAAATAATGCTTTATAAACAAGGCAAGAGTAAAATAAAATGAAGACAGAATCATTTATTTTTATCAAATGAAAGAAACGCTGCTCAATATTTCACTTCTATAATGTGACATCAAGTATAATGCACTGAAAAGAAACAGATAACAAAGATCCATTTCTAGACCACGGCATGTATTGAATCAACAGCAAACAGACAAACTGATTTCAGTGAGGCACCTTCAAATTTAAAAACTAAACAGTGTTTTCAGAATTAGAAATTAAGTCCACATTTCCAAGAGAGGCATAAAAAATCCTCACAGATCCAACTGATTATAGAGAAAATTACACATTAGAATGCCAGAGAAGCCTCTGGAAAAAACAAATCAAACCAAAACAACAATCAGCTAGCCTATTGGTGTTAATGGCAGTTTATCCAAAACTATGCAACTGAGATCCAGACACTTTGCTGGCAGTTCCCAGAGTTGTGGAATTTGCCTAATACTATGCAAGTGTTTCAGTTGCAGCCTGCCTTGATCCCATCCATATCTCATGTATTTTCTAAAAAGTTCTCTTAAGCTAACACATCAAAGCAGTGTTCTCACGTACTGGTACATAAAAGCTACCAGTATATGTCCAAACGGACTCAAGTTACACATAAAACATATCCACGTAAAATATCATTATAGTTTAAAAATTGCTGTAAGTACAAGAAAACAACAGAATTCAAGTCACTGATTAAGATAGAAAACTGCAACATAAAATTCAGTAAATACAAAGATAAATGAATACTTAATGTAGAAGTCTGCTGTAGTATTAAAACATATGAGAACTACACTTCTAAAGGTCTAAAATGTCAATGAGCAGGAAGTCACAGTATCACAGTATGCTAGGGATTGGAAGGGACCTCAAAAGATCACCTAGTGCAATCCCCCTGCCAGAGCAGGATCACCTAGATGATGTTACACAGGAAGGCGTCCAGGTGGGTTTTGAAAGTCTCCAGAGAAAGAGACTCCACAACCTCCCTGGGCAGCCTGTGCCAGGGCTCTGTCACCCTCACAGTGAACGACTTTAGTCCACTTACTTTCACTTGTGCATTTTTCAGCTCTCACATCTAGGGATTGTTACAGTTAAGCACATATATTTACACGTTCACTTTCCTCAAATTAAATACTAGCTTCAAACCTATGCTTTGAAGAATGCAGGAAAACTCCAACAATGCATTTTACCTGGAATCAAAACATTGCATGTGTACTCTACGTGCATAAGTGTTAGACCACTACGAATTATTGCCCATTGTTTGTATTGGCAATACTTTTCAAAAGTTACATTATGTCAGTTTTGAAGGAAAAGGAAAGAACATTAGTATGAGTGCAGTTGTTCCTAAATAGTCTCTATATTTTAATTTTTACTTTGTTTTCTTTTGAAGTTGTTTACTAATTACTGAGAATTTTTTTAAGTCCAAGTCTGCTACTTGATCTTAGGTAGTAACTTAGGTGAACCAAGGCAATACGCTCTTTTCATGTGAGCTAGATGGCAAAATATTCTTGGTCATCCCATAGAACGACCATCATAAAGAAGATTTTATGTCTGAAATGATCACAGAAACATGAAAATGTGCTAAAGCTATGTAAAGTATTAGTAAAAGATGGCTATTCACTGGAATTGTTCAGATTCTTCAGCTTATTTATAACTTACTTATAAAACAATAGTTACAGGTCTGCATTACTATTCATATTTTTCATAAATGTATGGGCCTATTGGTAATTTCTGATCCCATATTATTTTACTTCCTTGGGCCTTCAACATACTAGGCATATTTTCATCCTCAAAAGGACTGGAAAGAGATCACTAAATACATCCTAAGCCTCATGAGCGAGGAAAACTGTGTGCACATCTATGTATGCACGAAGGAAATGAGCAGAGGGAAAAGACAGAAAGTTTGCAAATGTGCATCTGTATCCTGCATTGGTATACTGTATTGGTGTTATTATAATCCATATTGCTACTGGAGTGTTCATATTACAATTTTTAAAATCCTGGGCTACAATATGGAAGTATCACAGCTACTGTAATGTGCAAATTCACAAAGCCAAAACATATGGATAAACAATTCCACATCACAGGCTAGTTTCTATCCTGTGAATACCCAGTGCCATATCCAGCTTGTAAATAATAATTTTCATGATCACATCATGACTTCTACCTGCTATGCAACAAAAAAATCTTCCACTATTAAGGACTATGCTACACACAGAAAAATGTACTTTTAAGGTTGTCTTATAGTATGGAATAAATCTTTCCCATTAATTAACTACTGAATAACATATTCCAAACCAGTCGTTCTTTGGTAGTATATTTCGTATTTAAGCCATTATTCAGACTTTGCTTCAGTAATGAAAAACTACTCTCTATTAGGAGGCGTATGCCACTGTCATCATCATTAGTATCCTGACTCTACAGCTGGGGCTAAGAAGGCAGCAACACGACTGAGGCCAAGTAATAAACGACTGATCCAGGACGAGAACAGAGACTCATAACTCTCAGCCCTGTGCTAATCACATTAGGTCCAAGCTGTCTTCTTGAATCACTGTATTTTAAAGCTACAAAACAAAGATACTGCATTCTCATCATAAGACATTACAGAGCATTCATCCAAATAAGATTACACTGCACAACTATAACTGCTGTAAAAAATATTGAAGAGGCAATAGTTGATTTTCCTTACAACTTTTAAAAACATTGCTTTCCTGATAAGGGGTTATACATTTTTTTCTAAACAGAAAACCCCATCCAGCCCACTGTTCTGAAGAGGTTCACATAAGAAATGCTTGGCTAATCATTTTTTTTGAATACTTCACTGATGGAAGGTCTACAAACTTCAACATAAACTCTTAGGAATTAGCTGTTTTTGTAGCTAAAATAACTATCCTAACACTTCAAGCCAACTATTTCTTTTCTTATTATCATCACCTACACCTGATTTATGGCAACTTTTAACACATTTTAACACAACTAGGTCCACTCTCCCTTTTTCACTCTTTAAGTTTTCTCTTTTACAGAGTAAAAATCGAATCTTGAGCCTTTAACACAGACCTGGTCTCCTAAAACCTTTGTACATCTCTTTACAGGATTTTTACCCTAACAATTTCAGATCATGCATCAGGATCATAAATTCACCTTTCTAAGCAATGTTCATTAATAAAAACTGACAACCAAAGCTGAATTACAAGGAAACTTGAACACAATCACTGACCAGGTATTGTTAAAGGTAACAGAGCTGTTGCTTATATATTGCTTCTGGGATTTTGCCATATTGCCTGTCCCAACTTGAGCAGCTTCTCCACACTAGTGAGCCTCTGTCATTACATGATATTGGCAAACTCCTGAAAGTTGAAGAGCTTTTTTGACTCTTGTGGCCTACACCAACTCCCCAGGAATGTAAGTCAAAAGGTCTTCTGCTATGATAGCAGCATCTATGGCTCAGGTTTTTCCAACAGAGTAGCCTGAAGACAGCAGGCATGCACTTTCTGTACCCTGTATTGACAGAGCTTTGCCACTAAACTTCACAACACAAGGCTGGCAGGCCAATTCTAGGCTGGGTAGAATTGCTAACTTGCAGGCCAAAGAAGTCAAAGAAATGAAAGAAAATCTTTACTCAACTTTTAACACTAAACCAAACATTCTTCTAAAAATCAACACTGATGTAATCAGATTTTTACTTGGAGTTATGAGCCTAAGCATCCTATACTTACACTGAAACATATGAAACAGATAATACCACACGATGTAAATGAAAAGAACGTTCACAGCAACAATGAAAATATTGTAAATACTTTATGAGTAAATTACAAAAGGAAAAAAAAAGGACAAAGCTTTCTCTTACCCGCAAGCCATGGAAGCGTGGGTTGCTATAGAAGAGCTTCATCTGCTCAGCTGGCAGTGGGCCTAGCACCTTCTGAATGGTAAAGAGCTGGTCAATCTCGCTCTCGCCAGGAAACAAGGGCTGCCCGTCACTCAGCTCGCCCAGGATACAGCCTACAGACCACATATCCACAGCCTTTCCATAAGGGGCTCTGTAAAGAGAATGTACAATGTTTTTCACTCACTGACACCGTCTTCTTACTGAGCAGTTTCAATTTATTGACCATATTTCCCTTGGCCTGTTTCCCTACCACACAAAAAAAATAAACTTTGATATCAAAGAATCTACCTCAAATTGCAAGCCCTCTGTTTCTGACCTGGATTACCTGATGTATCCTTGCTTGAAAAGGCAGGAGAGGAATTCTCAAGTGCCCCCAGGGATCCTGGTTATTTTTCTGAAAAATCTTACATACATGAATAATCTTTTTGACTGTGAAGCAGTTGTCATTCCTGGTTAAACTAATGCTAACTTCCCTTCTCTCCAGGGGTTAATGACTGTTCTATTTCCGCATTACATTTGTTTTTCCATTGTGCTTGATAGGTGGATAAGCACACTGGGTCTGGCTACTGAGAGAACAGGAATGGTAAGAAATCTACCTTTATTTCTGCATTCATACAGTGAAATTTTAATCAAAGAGGTATAGGGAATTCATCAGGAACAAAATGAAGTGGCTGGTATAGTCAAGGCCTATACCAGCTTTTCTTCCACTAAATCATGGAAGAAGAGGCAATATGGATACCGTAGTCAGGAGAGACTATGGGCTTGAGGATGGTTTGTAAGAGACATAGGACAGAAAATCTGAATGCAGAGAATGGAAATTTGTATGAAAAGGAGAGATGATAGACTACTGCAACTTTCAGCCTAAAGGCATGCACACTGAAGAAACATAGAATCCTTTTGGATACCTGATTTTCACTCTGAGGTTCTGCTTCTCAACAAGCCTGTTTAGCTGCCTGCCTCAACTGTGCAACAGCTTGTGCATTACATGCTTTCTGCTTTTCACTGTTCCTACTATAGAACAAAGAACTCCTTTTCTGTATGCCCAAGTTCTTGCTTGTTAAATTTGAAAAAAAAAATTGTAAACATCCAACTTACTTGCAAGAAACTCTTCTGGATGTTTAGATTTTGAGAAGAACGGCCAGAGAATTCTTCTCACGTCACAGAAAAAATGTACAAAACCAATAAAGACTAGAATGGAGATTGAACTGAACACGTATTTCACAGTTTCTTCTTTTTAAAACTTGTAACCCAACAACTCTACCTCTGTTTCCAGAGATCTTTAAGTTACAGCTGTCTTGCATATTTCTGGAAAAAGCACCAAGAGTTGCAGGTAACAAATTCTATCCTAAATCTGTTCCCTTTACTCCTTTCTTATGCTGATGATTAAAGATGATTAGAGAGAGAACACCCTCAGACTAAAGAAAAAAACCCAAACTGATTCTTCCGCATTGATTACTCTGGATTAGTTACTTTATGGGGGCGACACTTGGCCAGAAGACCTTGTAACCCTTGTGATGATTTAGTTATGTAAAAGTGAAAAAGCATTTCTACCTGGATAACAGCCTGAGTGAAACTACAGGCCCATTTTGATACCTAGTGCAGGAGGCTATGGTAGCTAGGAAAGCTGAAGTAGGACACGAAATTTTCAAGAACTGCCTTTCAGAATGTGTCATGAAACGCTGCAGTCCTTTCAGAAACAATCACCACAAAATCAGAGTTCACCCCTTTGGAACAGACTGCTGTCAAGGAACCACCAAAGCAGAGCATGCCAAGACTCTTGAAATACTACTACCACAATGACTCTATGGGCTCATAATTCCCATGCTAATCTTGCATAGTGACTACTTGTGAACTTGCTGTTGCGACTCAATGTTTGCCCCTTCTGCGATGCTCCTAGTCCAGCCCACCCATGAGGTCAGGTCTGAGTGCCAAGGAAGGACTAGGACTACTTTTTCTCCACACTGCAAAAGGCAACACAGATGAGAACAGACTCCAAAGCCAAGTATCTGGTCTTAAGATATTCTGTGCCTGCAGTGGAAAACTGAGGCTCTGTAAGCAAAACAGTTTGTGAGAGTGCAACTAAAAAACAAGCACATCTTTATATGTAACTCCTTTAACTGGCAGGTTTCTCCATTGAAATGTGAAATGGGGAAAAGGTTGCTGGAGGCTGGGGAAGCGGTTACAACTGAGGAATGGCCTAAACCTCCTCTGAGGCAGAGATCACTATCTTTCCTTCCTCACAAGAACAGAGAAAGCTGAATCACAGTTTAAGAAGTTTCCACTATTTACTCTGTTGCCAAACAGACACAAATCAGAAAATATCCCGTTCTTAATTATCCAAAACTCCTGTTGTGCTGACTGTCAGGATCACAACAGGCAAATGATGCAAAAGTGATGTGGCTGGAAAAATGGAATAATTCATACAGGACAGAGAGACCACAACTTAGAACTACTATAGCCTAGTACTGCACAAATTAGATTCTCCAGAATATATTTTCATCTACTAATTTGCTATGCCTTAAAAATCTACTGTCTTTTAGCAATATTTTGTCATCAAAGGGTACAGAGTACCTCACTAACAGTTACCTGAGGCTCTCCAAATTGAGTAGATTTTAGATGTTCTACGAATAATTAGGCAGCGATTAATTTCCTCTCCTGAAATTTGTCTTGAGCTTTATCACAAAACAGAAATCTCTCTGAGGTTTTAAAAATTGAAAATGTAAACTGCATTTGTTAAAATGTATATATTTAATAATCCTGGGAAGACTTTTGAATAATAGATGCTTATAAAGATTTGGTAAATGTAGGGTAAGGGAGAACGGGCAAGATGAGTGTCTGGGAAATAGAAGAGGATTGCCAAGAAAGAGATCTCACTTTGTGCCAGAAAAACTTGGCATTGAAAACGTACACAACAATGAAGCTGAAGTCACATGCATCAAATACACATACCCCCTTCCCTTTCTCTGCCAGTTAATGAAACAAATTCAGTCAATTACAGACAGACATGATTCCTGCTCAATATTCATTGGTAACAAAACAGTTTTCAAAACTGCACGTTGGATTAACAGTATGTCAGCCAAGCTTTTCATGTCCTTCCTCCAAATCCTACTACTATAGACAAAGAGTAAAACATTGTGTCACTAAAAAGGCCACAACTAATGCTTTCTTCCTACGTCTTTTTTAATACTTTATATATACACATGCACACACACTTTGCTGGAAGCTTAATAATATCTGTTTTCAAAATATGAAAAACTGAGTGTTGAGGTTTTTAATAGCAACTGTAACATACTACTCAGCACAAAATAATGCAACTCCTTACTAATCTGATTAAGATTAGCACAGCTCTGGCAATACTAGGATGATTTATTGACAGAATAATTATTACCTAATGCTTTGCCTGTTCAAGAAATGTCTATTTCAGTGTTAATCAAAGCTTCCAACATAGACTTGTTTCTCAGCAGCATGAAACATTTTGTTTAAAGAATCTTAGGACTGACCAGTACTTTTTTTGAATCATCCTGTGGCTACTAATTTCTTATTTCTAGAATATGTGTATATAAATACATATATGCTATTCATACAGGAACTGTATTCTATGAGAGTGTTCATGTGATTTGGAATAATGCACTGTTGAATTGGATAGTAATGGGAAGATCATATACAGTAGACCTCCAGTTATTTTTGTCTCTTGATGTGCCCTTTTAGGGCCTATAAATTTGTTCACATAGTATCTGAAAATCTGCTTAACTTTGTGAGGTAGTAAAACACTCAGATATTAATAAAAGAGTAAAACTAAACTGTTCAGTTGAGGCTACTCATCTAACTACTGCTTTCACAGGCAATGCAACACTACCTTCTTGGTGCTTTATGAAAATGATTCACACAGTCTCCTTCAATAAATTTTTCCTGACTAGTAGAAAACTAGCACCATCCTTCTGAGACACTTTAGCAGTGCTGGTAAAGAGTAACTGAGAATGAAAACCAAATCATAGTTTTGATCCAGAGGATGAAGAGAACTAAGAGTGTAGTGTGGTGAAAGCTGCACTGCCATTGCTACATGATGCCTACTACAAGGCTGATGGAACATTTCAGGTGACAAGAATACCATGGAAACCTGAAGAGAATGGAGGGGAGAGGGGGAAATGGCGACAGACATCTGAAGTATATCATGTTAGAATTTCAGCTTTGTATTTTAATCAGTTAAAACATTGTTCAGCTCAAGACAGGTCAACCTACCAGTGATTCACGTTGTTTTACTGGAAATGAACAACAATTAATGAAAATCTGGAAGCCTCTTGAAAACAACCACAGCTCCCTATCCGTAAATCTTACAAAAGGTGTTAAAAAGAGGTGTAAAGAATCAGTCAAGAATTATCATGGCAGTTCTACAAACTGTACTTACCCAAGCAAGAGTTCAGGTGAGCGGTACCATCTGGTAGCCACATATTCTGTATAGTTAGCATTGCTTCCCTCAGACAGATTACGAGCAAAGCCTGCCAAAAAAACCCCAACCACAGTGTGAAAGATTATATCCTATTTTAAACACATGTGTATCACCATCGATTTTGACAGTAAGAGGCCACTGCTATTTAAACAGAAGCAAATTTTTTACAACCCCTGGTACAGAATAATGACTCCAACAATTGCTTGTCCACTGGAATGCAAGCTTTTATTGAAATGACAGTGAAAGTCAATATGTCTGCTTTCACAACTACTGTACTTGTATATTTTCCTCAGAAGTCTATGGGGTTTTACTTTGCCATAATTGAAACAGACTGATAACGTTACCTGTCAGTACACCATGCAAGCTATTGAACTAAATTTCACTCAGATGCTCTTTGTGGAAGAACATTCATAACATCAGTAATGTAATGCATGAGGAGTAGACTCTTCTAGTCATAGATCCTAACTACTACAGTCTCATTGCATTTAATTTTTTTAACTGCTGAAGAAACTATGTATAATTCTCATTTAAGGACATTTCCTCCCAGATCTGGCAAGGAATAGGGTCATCTCCCCAAAACTACAAAAGGCAGGAGTCTACCAAAGAGCAGCAAAACCGTTTTATACCCACATGTAGCTCATTCCACATGTGTCAGCTTCCCACCTGCTTCAGTATCACATTCATAACAAAGTCTTTACTGAACTAGCATCACAAACCAAGTCCAAATTAAATTCCTCCTCCACACCATTTTGCTAAGAATAATCAAAAAAGTAAACTTCTTTGCAATTGTACCAAAATTTCTGTCCTAAGGCATAACAATTAAGACCACAGACAGTGAGAAGAGTGCATATGCTTGAAAACCCAGGCCTAGGATTAATCTATCTTGCTTTTCTTCTCCTCCATTTATAAAAAGTCATCTGAGCACCACAGTAATGTCTGGATTCTTCATGTAGAAGTACTCTAAGGCAGATGCCGACACTATTTTCAGAAAAGTATCAAGTGTCTTACTGTTTTCAAACAAATAATTGAACTGACAGATCTCAGTAGTAAGACTCCAGATATGTGGGTTTCTTATTAGAGCTCAAAGTGAGACAAATTTTTGGAACTGAGATGCAGGAGTAACATTTTCAAAATGCTTTCTTACTAGGATCTGACATTAAAACTTGGTCCAAAATCCACTTCAGTGAAAGCACTTTGAGTCCTTCCATTATTGTACGAGTGAGGAAGAAAAACAAAAAAATCCAGAGTGTTGTGCAGGTATAAGACATAATTTCATTTTCAGACTCAAAAAGTGCACCTTAAATGCAATAGTAATTTTTCTCTATATCTGAGTTCTTATACAGAAGCTGCCAAAATTGAGTTTCCCATATAAATATGCTTGTAAGATCGGGGGGTTTTTTTGTTGATTTGTGGGGGTTGGTTTGGTGCTTTATTAGTGTTCTGAAACTGTATCTCATTTGGCAGCTTAGTGTGGAGAAGTCCAGTCTCACTCACCCCTGCAGAACACTAAGGTAAAGGTATGGCACTGAAGTAAAGATTTGGATGAAGATTATTATTAGACTAGTGATTTGAGAAAAAGTTTATAAAATTGTTACTGACATAAGTTATAGCTGTTACTTTTTGCAAGATATCTCTACCTTCAAGAGTTAGTAAACTAAAGGACAGGTATGATGAGGAACAAATGTTTCAAAGTTGTCCCAAAATAATAATAATAATTCTGACCTGTTCCCAAAAAGTTTAAGGAATGTTACTGCTACTCCTGGAGAAAAGCTGGAAAGACATTTTTTATTACTTGTAACACTGGGATTGAGTAAATTTCTAAACATTACTCTATTTAGAACTACTTATGCAGCCTTGTTCCTGTTTCAAACTACATTACAAATCTGATTAATTCTGTCAGTTGAAAATTTTTCATTCATGTGTTTAAAGAGAGGGAAGATGGCCAGGAGCTACACTGAAGAAATGAGACAAGCAAAATGAACAGTAAGAAGCCCCAAGCTGAATGAGAAGAAGAAATAATAATAAAAAAAAAATTAAAAAAGTTGTCTCATGATACAAATAAACACACATGCTAATGTAATTCACAAGCCTGGCAGCCCATGGGCCCGCACACACCAGAACAATCAATGAGTCAATGATGCATCCTCTTCCCTCCATGCCAGTCTACTCGAGCTTGGTCACAGTCAAGAACTACTAACTCTGTCCAGAAATCATCACCAGCTAACGCAGTCTGAAAAATCAGCCTCCAAATGTACAGGCTAGGCGCAGCATGGATTTGATGTGGCAAGACTGAAAGGAAAATTATTGTAATGGAATTCACTGTCATCTATATATCACTGGGTGATACAAGAAACCATTTTACTGAAACCACTATTGCTCTGATTCTATGACACCATGTTGAAAGATGATGGACAGAATTAATAATTCAAGAAAGTATAATACCTCTCTAAGGGCACAATTACTCTTTTTTTTGTTATGGTGGATTTAGTTTATTGTTCCTTCCTCCAAACCGTGCCAAGGTATCAGCAAGATTTTTTTTAATACAAAATTAAGAGACGGTAACTAGGAACCGGATTAGAACCGTAGAATCACAGAACAGTTTTGGTGGCAAGAGACCTTCAAGATCATCAAGTCCAATATTTTCCTAGCCCTATCAACACCACTAAACTGTGTCCCTCAGCACAACATCTACCTATCTCTTACACACCTCCAGGGATGGCGACTCAACCACCTCCCTGGGCATCCTGTTCCAATGGCTGACAACCCTTTCAGTAGAGAAATTCTTCCTAATATCCAACCTGAACCTCCCCTGGCACAACTTCAGGACATTTGCCCTCATCCTAACACTCGCCACTAGGGAGAACAGACCAATCTCCGCCTCTCTACAACCTCAAGTAGTTGTAAGAGAGGGATGATGTCTCCCTTCAATCTCCTCTTCCCCAGGCTAAACAGCCCCAGATCTCTCAGCCATTCCTCGTATGACATATGTTCCAAATCTTTTACCAGCTTAGCAGCTCGCCTCTATACCCTCTCTAGCACCTCAATGTCCCTCTTGTAGTGAGGGGCCCAAACTCTAACCAGTGAGAAGGAACAGAATGGAAGATGAAGACAGAAAGCAATTTGGGTGAGAGCAACTATGAAAACAAAAGAGGTTGCAAATCCCCTAGTGATGCAAGAAGGGAGAACAAGCAAACTAAGAAATGTTGAGGAAGGACTTTAAACAACTCAGAGCAGGGTAGAAGAAATGTAAAGAAAAACATTGTATGGAAAAAACCACGATTGTCAGTTTCTACAGAGAATAACGCAAATTTAAGTCACACAAGAAGTACTGCATTCTAACATTAATGACATGTAAGTATTTTAATAGATGCCCAGGAACACTAGGGAACCTCTATTATGCAGATTTTTAAGAATAAGCTAAGCAAACACCTGTCAAGAATGACACAGACATGCTTAATCCTTTTTTTGAGTAGGTGGAAGAACTAGAGAATTTCTTGAGGTCTTTTCCAGTCCTGTGTTTCACCATTTCTATGCTTACACATCACACAGAGATTAAGAGATTGCTAAAACAAGTAATTTTGAAGCCCTAGTGTTGAAACAGCAAATACACTAGTCAGAAAGCCTAACGATTTCCAAAAGTCAGATGCATCTGCCGTAATCGGCATTTTGTACTGTTCTTTTTCCACTTCCATTCGCAGAAATGACACCCACACAACATGTGCTCAAGCAAGCATCGCATTCAATCTGAATTTCATCCTGCACGATATGTACAGAACACATGGCATAAAGATTATGAAGACTATCTTCTTCAAAATTTATGAACTTTTCTGCTATGAGGACAGGCTAAGGGAACTGGGATTGTTCAGCGTTGAAAAAAGAAGACTCCAGGGGGACCTTATAGCTGCCTTCCAATACCTGAAGGGAACCTACAGAAGGCTGGAGAGGGACTTTTTACAAGAGTGTCCACTGATAGCACAAGGGGAAATGGAATTAAGTTGAAGGAGAGCAGATTTAGATTAGATCTTAGAAAGAAATTTTTCAGTATGAGGGTGGCAAGACTCTGGAATCAATTGTCCAGAAGTTGTGGATGCCTCCTCCCTGGAGGTGTTCAGGGCCAGGCTGGGTGAGGCCTTGAGTAACCTGGTCTAGTTAAGAGGCGTCCCTGCCCATGGCAGATCATGTAATCCAGACCTTCCAACCTAGACCATTCTATGATTATATGATTCAGATTGTCCACTGGGCTATTCAGAAACATACAATTAGTTCAGTATCTGCACTGGGATGGATGCATAGATCTTCTATTTGCCTTTGTCACCACAGGAAGATTGTGGTACTCTAAGTGTCAAGTACCTGTGTTCCAAAACACGATTTAAGTTAGGTAGGCAGACACTGTATGTTAAATTACATTAAAAGATGAATTCTTATATCCTAATCTGTACATATTCAGGAAATGCTTGCAGCTAATACTGTTTTGAAGACATTTTACACTAATAGCTTAAGCTACTAGCAGTATTAATTAGCAATAAGGCTAAAAAAAATTGTTCCTAAATTATGGGTTACTTGAAATTTTATATTAAGCTAAATCTGGAATGCTGATAAAAGTTCAAACTAACCCATATGAGCAGTAAGAACAACAGAAATGCCTTCCTCAAGACTGTGTCGAGCACTGTGAGTACATTGTGATTGCATGTCTTTTCCAATAGCAGAAAGACAACATGGCTGGAACGTGAGCAAGCCAACAGACCACACAGAATATCACTGCTGGATACCATCTGCATCTAGCAAGAAAACTGAAGTCCAGAACACAATCATAACATTTGTTTGGCTTTCTATTTTCCTGTCATACTGATTCACAGTGGATACTGACATGAGTTCACACACAAGATTTTGTTATCTGATGGCACACACCAGCTCTAACAGTGAGTGTTACTTTCAGGAGGGACCACCCCTCCAAAAAAAAATCCCCAGGGGAGGGTACAGGCCAGGGAAGGCTCTTCCTCATGGCCAGGGAAGGAGGTAATCTGTGCCAGGCAGTGACTGTGTCTCCTAACCACACAAAGTTGGCACAGGGGGGTGAAGGGGCAGAGAGGGAGGAAGGTGTCTTCCACCTCAGCCTTCATTCCCCTGGGAAAGCCCTGGCCCTGTCAACCCTGGTGGAGTTTGCTTTGCTGGGGCAAGGTCTTGAAAATAAGTGTAGAGTAAGGGAAAAAATCATAGGATAGTAGAATGTTTCGGGCTGGAAGTCACCTTAAAGATCATCTAGTTCCAACCCCGCTGCCATGGGCAGGGACACCTCCCACCAGACCAGGTTGCTCAGAGCCCCATCCAGCCTGGCCTTGGACACTGCCAGGGAGGGGGCATCCACAGCTTCTCTGGGAAACCTGTTCCAGTGCCTCACCACCCTCACAGAAAATAATTTCCTCCTAATATCTGATCTAAATCTACTCTCTTTCCATCTGAAACTGTTAGCCCTTGTCCTAACACTACACTCCCCAATAAAGAGTCTCTCCCCAGCTTTCCTGTAGGCACCCTTCTGCTACTGAAAAGTTGCTATAAGGTCCCCCTGGAGCCTTCTCTTCTCCAGTCCAGGATACAACTGGCCTTCTGGGCTGTGAGCGCAATCCTGCCCCACCAGCTCTGGGCAACAACGCAAGAGCAGCCTGGGCAAAGAGCTGCCGGGGAGGGTTGCTGCAGTGATGCCGACAGCGGAGGCCTGTGGAGAGCGAAAAGGCAAAGGCACCGAGGGCACCACACAACAGTCTCCCAGTGTTCTATCAGAGCTGTGCAGTTCCTTACTCTGCAGAATAAATTGCCCTTAATTCAAAGAACTCATATGGACCAAATCTACCAAATCTTCTAAGGCTTTTCCTGGAACGGTTATTGTTTCTGACTGTTTAAGCAAAAATGCCTTTAGGATTAAAAGAAATAAGCAGCACTGCAAATGACAAACACCTTTCTTGTGTTCCTAGAATGCTATTTCAATTCGAGTTTTTAGCAGTTCCTCTTTTCATTCAGAATTGCAGAGGTTTGAAATGACAGCTTTCAAACTGCTCTCACTGAAAAGTGCCCTTGGGTAGCACTATGGAATTGTTTTTTATTTACCAAGCCAAACTGTAAGCAACAATATTTTATTCTGTGTTTATGTAGCATTTAGAATAAAAATACAGATTGTTAGAACAGTGTACTCTCCACCCTGTTGTTTTCTGGGGATTATTCACATGGGCAAAGTTCGTCTTGTGCTTGGGTGCTGATTCTTCAAAGTCTTAAAGCTGACATTAAACAGGTATTGATACATTGGGAAGCACTAGCGTTGCCATTACATGTACAACTGACTCTCAGCCTTTAGCCATTCTGTCATTAATGTTACGTGTATGGATGGTTCCTTAACTAACATAACAGTAAAACGTGACCTAAAACTACAGGCACAACAGTCCATGAAAGCTGGTGGTTCAAAAATACATAAAAAGTGTAAGTTTATTTTGTCTTTACTAAGCAAGGAGGAATTATCTCTTAATAGGCAGGCCACATCAACCTACAGTTTTGCCAGCCTTTAGTCAGCTTATCATCGGCATTGTTCAGCTGGGTGCCAGTAGCACTGCTAGTAAAAACCTTGTCAAATATAGTAAGAAACAGATGCAGTGTTTCTATTGATATGTTAACACAGGTATTTCACAGGTATGCATAGTAAGCCCAGAGATGTTTCAAAATAATGTACTAGCCACAAACCTGAAAAAATAATCAATTCTGTCACTAAAAGGGTTTTAAACAGTACATACTGTAGAATTCTTCTAAGAATAAGGCCAAACTCTACTGCAACAGATTGTCCCGCAAAAGGTAAGAAGTAGGTATCTATCTATTGAACTTACCAAAGTCACATAACTTCAGAACATCGTTGTGGCTTATTAAGAGATTCTCTGGCTTGATATCTGGAGCATCAGAGTGAGAGAGAGAAAAAAAAAAATGCTTTGAACTTCTCTTTTTAATTTTGAACTTTGTCAACAAATATTATTTCATTATAACATATTTAGAGATAGCAATGCAATCACAAATGAAGCATTAAAAAAGCAACTGCTGAAACAGCTTCCAGCAGTTCAGTTTGCAAACAAAATTAATTTTCTGCCTTCTGAAATCTTTTAAATTGTTTCCCAACAAAATATGGGAAGATAAAAGGTGCTTACAGATACTCCTGGGGAGCAAATCAATATGCAGAATATTGCATACTGCAAAATAATACAAAGAACTGACCTTTAATTACCCAGTTGATCAATAAAATGTTAAGTGTGTTGGCTCAACATTTTCAGTTATGATGATGATCTTAATCACCTCTTGTGATTTACTTAGAAAAAAAATTAGTTGTCTACTCTTAAGCCTGTCTTTTTTATTCCTAAATGGCTATTGTTGTATCCAGATATTGTATATTTTTCAAACTGTATTTTACAAAATATTTTCAGACTCTTGATTACATTTATCAGTCTTAAATATCAATACATATACTATGAGAATTTTAATGTATTGGAAACATTAATTATAAATGTTACTCTTGCAAAACCACAAAGCAAAATCCAAATGTATTAAAGCAGGATAAAATATATAAAACTTGATGAAGTCACACATGAAGATATGTACTCTAAGTGCTTGAAGCTTAGGAGTGAAAGTACATACATGGAGCTGAACTCGTGGGAGCTGCCTTAAAAAGTAAAACACAGAGGACCAAGCTTTACATTTTGGGTTACTTTGCTTCTAATATTCTATTATCAGTTTCAAATGTGAAATGACTGAACATTACGAAATGTTTAAAAACATTCCTTTTCTTCTGGCAATGTTTGTACTGCAGTTTCACATCACTGCATATGATACAATCTTTCTATCATACCCCAAAGACAATGGCCAGCAAGCTTTATATGTAGATGAATTTAGTTTTAAAACAATCTGCAGTCACGCAGCAGACTTAAGACTGAGCCAAATCTAGAGATTTTTTTGTTGTTGTTGTTGATATAAAGCAATTGCTTATATTTCTGTTAAATGCAAATTACTTCAAGCTGTAACATCTTTCCCTTTAGAAAGTAAATTCCTTACTTCCATGTGGAACACTACATACTTACCTCTATGAACGATATCATTCTTATGGCACCAATGAATTGCTTTAATTAGCTGGTAGATATAGCTTTTCACTTTTTCTGGTGGAACTCCATTTGGCATTTCTTCTAGCAATTCAAGCATATTCTAAATGTTTAAAAGACATTATTTTAAAGAGTTATAATACAGTTGGTAGAACATAAAATGCTTTCAACATTATGAAGCAACATACTTGGGTCACTAAGCCTGGCTATGCAATATCAGTAGTTTAACATTAAAGGAGTGTATTTTAATCATAAGCATAATACTAGCTGTTTTCATTCTAGAGAACGCACTCGCGGAGACAGTAATCCTTAAAGGTGAAGTACGAATATACAACAAGTCTTTAACAGACTGTCATCAAGCCACTTAACCTAAAACTTCTAAAAAGTTATTTTGTTATAAAAATTTGCTTAAACAGAAACACTAGGTCAGTATGGTTATATGAGTTTAGTAGAGCACAGCACTTGTAAATATCTGACTGTGCTTTAACATAGCATATTAACTGTTTTATGGATATACCTTGAGAAGAAAACAAAAATAACTATTTTGAAAATACCGCCTTACAAAACTCATTTAAATATGGATTTGAACATTTGTAGATTTTTCATTTACGATAAAGTTATGTTGTCTTTGACAAGAATTTTCTTCAGCTGTATAACACAATTTTTGAGGTTTCTCTTGTAAGATGTTTTAATGAACACAAATGTAAAATGAAACAAATGGAGCCTGAGAAATACTTTCAAATATTATCAAAGTTTTGCAATCTGTGAATACATACAGGAACTTATGTGCTTGAGTATAAGTCTCCTTAGAAATACACTTCAGATCTGAGAATAGGAATTTTCTGTTAAATAACCATATTGATTTTAGTTAGAATCTTGTCCACAAAGAAGCCTATCCATCTGGTTAAGTAAGTCAAGAAGTTAGTGTTAAAATTACAAACAAAAATAGTAGAATCAACACAGCAAGACATAATCATATACGAAGACATCAGCTAAGTGGATGATGAATAAAGAAGATTAGACTAAATGTGAATTTAAGTAATCTGGATTGCAGAGCTAAGATTCTCTAAAGGACACAAGGTCTCATCATCAGTTAAAAAAAAATTAGCCTACTATACCACATTTTATTTAATTCCTTCTACACTTTCCTCATCCAAAAATACAGAAATCATCCTGGTTTTCGACGAAACTGTTGCAGAAACTATTCGACATATCTGAAAATGACGAACTTTCATGGAATGCAAAGGTTAACTGAAAACAAAGATGACTATTAATATAGAAATGACATTTGGTACATACAGACTGTACATGATGACTACCTTTACCTTTATATTAATTTATTCTGATGCAAATAATGTTGGATATTGCAGTCTAGTATATTTATCAATATTTAAAAATTTTGAAGTATTCTCTGTATCAAATCAGTTAAATGCCTTTTACTTATGCTGCTTTTCCAACCCACTACTACAGATTGCTTAGCCAAGTCATCTATAACAGAAAATTAAATGTACGTTCTAAGCCAGTGTGTGCTCTAAGACATTCACGTGCGTTGAAAAATTACAAGGAACATGGGTGGAACAAGTCAAGTTTTGGATGTTAGATCTAAGGCCCATCACATCAGGAGTTGCTGATCTCCTGGTGAAAAGCAAAAGTGATTTCTGCCAAAACTGTGGGCTGATATAGGTCACCTCACATTACGCAATAAAGTTGTACAACATAATAAATTGTAAACCGAGGTAAAACAGACACAATATTTAGGATGCGGAATCTACATGAGAGAGAATTGACTCAACAGGACTAGGACTCAGCTTGACTGCAACATTTTTAAAGGATATTAAAAAATTTTCAAGAATATCTCATGAAAGTTACACATATAAACAAAAGCTTAAATATATGGATTTTTACTGTGCATATCTGAATACCATATATTTCCACAAAGAAATGCTAAATGGTTAAAATTGGGAGGGAAGGTCTACCTTCATCATGAATGCCACAAAAAGAAAGACAGACCAATCTGTTCTAGGTTGTTTCTGCCTGGAAACAGACCAGGATGCTTAGCAGTAGTAGGCTAATCTAAGGAAATTTTGGAATTGTTTCAAGTGAGGTCAGGATTGGAGATAATGACAGTGATCTTTGCCAAATCCCTCTAAGCAACTATTGATGATAGTGGCCTTGTTACAGAAATATACAAACAAATCCTATTTTTAACAGGGAAGAATGGAGAAAGTTGCAACAGATTCCAAGGTCAAAAGTCTATGACCTTGTTTTGAAAAATTACGTCAAGATTCATCACATTTCATAACACAGGACAGTTAATCAGCTTTACAAGTGAACAACAGTAAAGTTACCAGTGCTGCTTTCTCACAATAAATGTCTAGTTGTAACAGTTAAGATTGTACTAAGCATGCTGTTTTTCCCCCTTATAGATTAGAATAGCTTAATTTTTAAAAGCAAAAGTAATTTTTAAAGACTTTTCCAGTAAGCTGATGATTTAACTGTGGTAAGAATAGTACAAATTCAACTCACTTTTTCCACATATTCAAAAACTAAGTATAATTTTCCTCTTCTTCTGAAGGCTTCCTTCAGCTCCACTATGTTCTCCTGTTTCAAAGTGCGAAGCATTTTAAGCTCTCGTAAAGTGGTTTCTTTGACTTCTTCATTTTCTAGAGTGCAAAGTAAAAGAGACAGAGTAAAGCTTATATAAAATCCAAACAAAAACTCCAAGCAATCTTTATTTTGAACCCCTGATTAAATTATCTACTTCTAGATATTACAGAAGAAAAAAAAAAAAAGGCAGCTTATTTTTCCAGTGTGGACTCTCTGCTGCCTGGATGCTTCTGCACTGGAAGACCAGTAACTGGTGACTGTGCTGTCATTGTGCAACCCTCACAGACTTCCTGTCACTACTATCTAGGTTTTCAGTGGCAGAAGTCACAAGAAACAAATCATCTGCCTTTCTATCTTTTTCATTATAGAGAGCACTAATATGTTTCAAAAAATACACATGCATGTGTACAGATATATCCTCCAGCCCACAAATACATGCCGCACATATGAAGCACCAGCAAGGTTAGTATGCCCTCAGCAGAAACACTGGAATGCAAAGCATAGGTTTGAACAATGTCAAAGATGTCTATTTGATGCTAGAATAATTTTATTCTTAAAAAGCCAGAACGAATTTTAAGACCGAAAGAAAAATTTGTGTGTCCTGTAAGTTTCCCCCCAGGGCTTTCAATGGAAATTCAGCAATGCAGAGCACTGAAGCAGCCACACAGGGCAGTAGAGCAAGTACTGTTCCAAAGAAGTTGTGAATCTGATTCTGAGGAGTCAAGAAATTTAACTGTTATTTTGACAATTTAGTTATCTGAAAGTTGTTCAAGAAAGGCGGAGTGTTTTACTGAAGCTTTGTACACTGCTTATCATCAGCGGGCCCTGAAGTGACTGGGTTCTTAAGGATACTAACAGCAAAATGTCAAGTAAACCAGACTATATTATGCTTTATTTTTTCACTTAGTAAAATGAAATCCATTAATTCAGTAAATGTGCCCGTGTGCATGTAGAAGCAGGGTTCTTAATCTCTTAGAACTGTTATCCACAACAGACGGATATTAAATGGGATGTGATTGCATAAATTACAAGCTAAATCATGTTTGCAGGTCATGTACCAGAAAGACAGAGGAATGAGAAACAAGGAAGAGAAACTGTTTTTCCAAGCAAGGCAAAAACACGTTTGCAGGAGAGAGAGGACAACATAGGTCATGCATATGCATATAATCATCATCAGAAGAGAGAAAAAGAAAATAAAAATTGAAGTGTAGCAGGAGGGAAGAGGAAAACAAAATACTATAATCACAAATGTTTTGATTAAAAAATATATAATTTAGAGCAATCTCAATCATTTCATTTTAAAACTGAGTGCTCCGTTTTGGCTTGCATCAGTCTGATTACATAATTTCATCTATTTTTTCCAGCGCATTTAGCATGCATATGTCAAACAACAGGAAAAAATCAGTAAAACAAAAACGGTAATAGAAACAATTACAGTATATTCAGATGTCTAATGAACTATCATATTAAAGAGACAGATGTGAAATGGGCTGAATCAAATGTATCAAAAGAACTTCTGTCATATTTCCAGAAACTTGTAAACAACAAGCTACAACTCTGAAAAGCAGTCGCCAGTCATGTAAACTAATATTACGTAATACTCTTGGAAAGCCAGACCTAATGGCAATGCTGCATTTTTTGTTTTCATTTTTTTCACAGATTGGCTAACATAATAATCCTGTACATGCTTTACTACTAGGTCCTGTATCAACTGTATCAACTTCCAAGAAGCAATTCTGAAGAACTCTCATGACCTGGTCAAGATGGTCACTGCAACTGAATTATCTCTTACATTCTTTAACAGGGATTTAAAACAGATTTCTGAATAGCAGAGTTAAAAAAAAAAAAATCAAATACACTCTTCAAGCGTTTCGCAAAATCAGTTCTAAAGCCAAGAGTTTGCATTGCATAAAACAGACACCAAATCAGACTTTGCTGTCTAGCTGGCTCTGAAAATTACAGACCTTGTAACCAACCATAGCTCCACGGCCACCAGTAATCCTCTAACATAAAAAAAAAGTTTGCTAAAATAAAGTGACTGTTTTTTCTTTAAATCACATCATTAGCTTTCAGCTAAAGCCTCAGTATAAGCAAATCATAGCTGTGTCATCTCGGACCAGGATGATGACTCTTATTACTTCATACTTGGCTTCTCCTTCTGTTTGCACTAGGCCATCAGGGATCAGGGTTAACTTCTGATGTATACAAGGTAAAAACAGTTGTTCTCATGCTTGACTGTCAGTTCTGCCTCCAACAGGATACTGGGATTCACTGTCTCTCAACAAGTGCAGGTCAGAGAGCCAGTCTTCTCTTGGGTTTATTATTGCTGGGGGAAGAACAGGCGTGTGCATCACTGGCAACAATTTCCACATGTCCTGCTTTCTGCTGCCCACTTTGCCAGCGTCACCAAGTCTTGCAGGAGTTGGTTCTTCCCTCCTCAGCAAACTCAACACCACTGGAGAGTACACAGAGGCTGCTGTGAGGGGGCAAACTGCAAGTTTTTCTGTGGAGAGTGGAGCCTGCTGAAGGGAGGGCAGGGCCACTGCCTCGCCACTCAGTTCCCTCAAATCCTCCCATGGATTTGCTCCCCGATTCCTCATCACACCACTTCTCAGTGACTTCTCTCAGCATCCTTCATTTAATGCTTCAAGTACCCCCTAACATTTAGATCCCCTCCCACAGATGAGGGGTGCTAAAGTCCAAAAACTCTGCAAGCCACTACTACGGGAGGCATTTTTGACATTTTCTCATCACATCCAGTCTCCAAATGGTAGACCTCACTACTGTGTACTGCACCACAATCTCAGCCACCCTAAGACAGATGCACAAAAAAAGAAAGGTAGTTATCTAGTTTGAGTGTATAATGAAGCCCCTGGGCAGGTATGAAGGATCAAGTGCCTTGAATATTCACAGAGCTAATAAATCATTATAATTTTAAAACGATGTCTTGATACATGAGACTTGTTATTTTAACTGGAAAGATATTAACACTGTAGTTATTGACATGAGAGATTATGCAGCAGAAAAGGTTACCTTCACTGTCTTTGAATTTCTTGATAGCCACAATTTCATGTGTCTCCTGTAAAACAAACACAAAGAAAGCGAAATGAGGAAGATCTGTTGCATGCTTTCTCTTGTTTGGTTTATTTATTTTTTCATGAGCATCAGACAAAGGAAAAAAAACATTCAGAGATATTTCACAATGCAAAGCAAAATAAATTAAACATCAGGTTTAGTGTTCAGACCAGATGCTGTAAAAAACCACTGCAGATGTAGCAGGTACGTCACAATTAGGAACCCCAGCATGAAAAACCAAGGTTAAATGCCAAAAATTCATATTTAAGTACCTCATATCAGATATAAATTATATTTTTGGAAGAGTTGTTCCTGTGATTCTTGTTGCTTTGTTATTTTGAAAGTCAATCAATCTTTCATCTGACCAAAGTATGAGTGTGGGTGCTTATAGCTTTGAGCTGAAATGAAGATACTGTACTAGCATGTGGCTAAGGCTTGCAATGAGACCTTTGTATCTGTTGCCAAAAGTTTCTGGGTCTCAAATTTCAAGCATCTATGAAGAATATGATTTGAGGAAAGTAAATTCTTTGTGCCTCCTTAACAAAAAAAAAAGTTGTTGTCTTAAGTGAAGCTTATCCGAAACCAGAAGCACTAATTGCATTTGAAAGTGATAATCTGTGCTTATCTACAGTCATAGGTGATAACTTCTTACCACCTGCCTCTGTGTTCCTCTAGTGCCGTCTGTTCTCACCAAACCTGATCATCACAGATTACATCCTTTTCCTAAATGAAGACACTTCTCTGACT